TCCCGGCAATTACAGGCCAGTAAGCCTGACTTCAGTACCAGGCAAACTGGTTGAACAAAATTGTTAAACACATAGATGAACATAATTTGTTGAGGAAAAAGTCAACAAGGTTTTTGTAACGGGAAATCATGCCTCACCAATCTACTAGAATTCTTTGAGGGGGGTCAATAAGCATGTGGACAAGGGGGATTCAGTGGATATAGTGTACTTAGATTTTCAGAAAGCCTTTGACAGGGTCCCTCACCAACGGTTCTTAAACAAAGTAAGCTGTCATGGGGTAAGAGGAATGGTCCTCTCATGGATTGGTAACTGGTTAAAAGATAGGAAACAAAGGGTAGGACTAAATGGTCAGTTTTCAGAATGGAGAGAGGTAAATAGTGGTGTCCCCCAGGGGTCTGTATTGGGACCATTCATATTCAACATATTCATAAATGACCTGGAAAAAGGGTTAAACAGTGAGGTGGCAAAATTTGCAGATGGTACAAAACTACTCAAGATAGTTAAGTCCCAGGCAGACTGCAAAGAGCTACAAAGGGATCTCACAAAACTGGGTGACTGGGCAACAGAATGGCAGATGAAATTCAGTGTTGATAAATGCAAAGTAATGCACATTGGAAAACATCATCCCAACTCTACATATACAACGATGGGGTCTAAATTAGCTGTTACCGCTCAAGAAAGATCTTGGAGTCATTGTGGATTGTTCTCTGAAAACAGCCACTCAATGTGCAGTGGCCGTCAAAAAAGCCAACAGAATGTTGGGAAGCATTAAGAAAGGGATAGATAATAAGACAGAAGATATCATATTGCCTCTATATAAATCCATGGTACATGCACACCTTGAATACTGCGTGCAGATGGGGTCGCCCCATCCCAAGAAAGATATAGTGGAATTGGAAAAGGTTCAGAAAAAGGCAATAAAAATGATTAGGAGTATGGAATGGCTTCCGTATGAGGAGAGATTAATAGGACTGGGACTTTTCAGCTTGGAAAAGAGATGGCTAAGGGGGGGTATGATAGAGGTCTATAAAATCATGACTGGTGTGGAAAAAGTAAATAAAGAAGTGTTATTTACTCCTTTTCATAACACAAGAACTAGGGGTCACCAAATGAAATTAATAGGCATTAGGTTTAAAATAAACAAAAGGAAGTATTTTTTTCACACAATGCACAGTCAACCTGTGGAACTCTTTGCCAGAGTATGTTGTGAAGGCCAAGACTATAACAGAGTTCAAAAAAGAACTAGATAAATTCATGGAGGATAGGTCCATCAATGGCTATTAGCCAGAATGGGCAGAGATGGTGTCTCTAGCCTCTGTTCCCCAGAAATGGGCTTAAATTGCAGCAAGGGCAGTTTAGGTTGAACATGAGGAAAAGCTTCCTAACTCTCAGAGTGGTTAAGCACTGGAATAAATTGCCTAGAGAAGTTGTGGAATCTCTATCATTGGGGATTTTTAAGAGCAGGTTGGACAAACACCTGTCAGGGATGGTCTAGATAATACTTAGTCCTGCCTTGAGTGCAGGGGACTGGACTAGATGACCTCTCGAGGTCCCTTCCACTTCAGTGATTCTATGAATGGATGACAGGAGATGAATCACCTGATGATTCCCTGTTCTGTTCATTCCCTCTGGGGCACCTGGCGTTGGCCACTGTCGGAAGACAGGACACTGGGCTCGATGGACCTTTGATCTGATCTAGTGTGGCCATTCCTATGTTCTTAGGTACTGTGGCCCCTCTGCAGCTGCGTTTATCTGGCGCTCTACAACTTCAAAGAGCCGTACTGGGCTGCATGCCAGTGGCACCAATGTAACTAAGTGGGTTTCTAAATCAGTTTAGTTAAATCAGTGCAAGTCCCTCTGTGAAAATGGTGAAATCAATTTGAGCAGCTTTGAAACTAATTTAATTAGAAACTGATTTAATTAAATCCAGTGTAGTTTTGCTGTGTAGACTGGGCATGAACCTCGCAGCCTCCTGTGAGATAGGTCAAGATCCTGGAAACAGGCCCAGAGAGGGGACATGATGTGTGTGTGGCCATGCTGTTAATCAGCAGCAGAGCAGGGATAAGGACCCAGGGGTCCTGACACCCAGGCTCACTATAATACTTCTCACTAGCGCAGCTGAGCCAGTGTGGAATCCCCTCCTCTGACTCTCTGGAAGCAGATCCTCCCAGGGTTCGCAGGCTGATCTTGCCTATGATGTCATTGAGAAGCTCATCTTCCCTGGGGTGGGCTCAGGGTGCTGTGGGCACCTCCAGACTAGAGTGAACTCTGCACTGCACTCCCTGGTCCTGCGAGGGAGGACGTACTGTAGCTATTGCTTGAGGGGCAAGTACCATGGCAGCCCCTCGGTGTTTAGTTCCCGGAGCGCTGTGGCTGCTGCAGGAGAGCTCTGTGCCCTGCCCTGCACGGTTCCTGCTGGGCTGTGGATCAGATTCTTCTTAGCGTATGTGCAGCGCGCCTCAGGCTTCATCACCGAATTTGGTCCAGTGGTTGGATCACTAGCTTTCCTGGCTTGGGCCGGGGAGTACGACATGAACACTGATCCATGGCCCCCTGGAGCAGATTCGTCCATGCTTAACAGTGCTAGCAGTGTGGTGAGGCACAAGGTCTTCAGGCAGCCTGTGGTTTGGAGACCACATGGAGCAGGGCAGAGCTGGGGCTGTTGAACTGAGAATCCTCCCTGGACAGGGGTGATGCTGCGTTGGGGGACAGCTGAATCCAGAAGGAATGTGCCCCTCTCCCTGTTGTTTCACTGCATGTACCTGGAGAAGGATGCAAAATCCCAGTCCGTGCTGCCCATTTGGTATAGCGTTAGGACTGTGCTGTTCCCCAGCAGGTGCATCTGCCCAGTACAAGCTGGGTCCCGTTAGCGGGCAGGGATGGGCAGGCCCAAGCAGTGTCTTGGCTGCATTCCTCGAGGCTGGGGTGGTCACTGGGGAGAAGCACTGCCTTTGCGTGTGGAAGCTCTCCCAAGGTCGGGGAGTTTCTTCTGGCAGCTGGGGCTGTGAGGAGGGCAGGGCTCGAGCAGGGAGGCTGCCAACTTATCCTGCTTTAAATCCCTCCTGTAAAGCTCACCTCCTCTGACAGATCACTCCAGTCGGGCCTTGGCTGGGTATGTGGCAAACTGAGACCTCAGCTTTGCTGCCAAATTCCGCAGGGCTGATCGCAACCACAGCCTCCTGCCTCACCCCCTTGTCGGATTCCCCCAGGGGTTGTGGCTTGTCTGACATGCAAATTGGAAGCTCTCTGGGGCAGGAACTGGCTTATTCATCACATCTGTAGAGCCTCTAGCACAGTGGGGCTCTGGTCCTCGATTGGGGTTCCCAAGCACTACTGTAATATAACTGACAGGAGGCAGGTGGAAGCATGTGGCAGACATGTCTGATCGCAGCTGTATCTCCTCAGAGAGCCCCTGCTGCCTCTTGGGACATGTCTGCAGGTCTAATGGCTATTACCCTACCAGCCTCAGGGGCTGCTCCCCAGGGCCGGTCAGCAAGCCCTTCCTTGCACAGCTAGGGGATAGAGCAGTGAAACTGATTTGTGGAGACTCTGGAGGGAGCCAATAAAGGGTCGAGCCAAAGCTGGATCTGGGCTCTTGGCCTCTGGAAGACAGCAGCAGAGGATCAAGGACTAATTCAGGCCCCTGTGGAAGGCCCAAAGAGGGAAAATGTGGGAAGGGTGTAAGTGCTTAGGAGAGGATCTGCCCAGACTGCAGGAGAGGTGGGACCGTGTGAAGGAAAGAGGAACTTGAACTGACTAACCAAACCCATTCCTCTGTCAGGAGAGGTTCCCTCTTCATCTGCTGTGGGAGCCCTGCCCCTGGAGTGGAATCAATCCCTGAGAGAGAGCACTGGGGTTAAGTGGGACCTGCCAGATCTCTGCTCTCTGAGTCCCCTGCCCTGGGGACCCTTGTTGGACTGGGTCTGGCTCAGACTTCAAAGCACTGCCCTGTCTTGGTTTTGTGTGCGGGGCTCTTCCTCACCACAGGGGCAGGGAGTTTTCAGATTTAGAAGTGGAGAAGTCCAGCAGGCTGTTGCGGGGCCCTCTGAGCTTAGAGAAATGTGGTGGATCAGGAGGAGAGTGTCAGTCAGACAGGTGGCCCCTGCTGCTGCTCCCTCTCCGTCCCTTGGGTCTCCCTGGTTTGGGGAGATTGCCACAGGTGAGCAGTGTGTGGAGGAGGGGACTTTGCCCAGTTTTTTGTGGGTTTATCTGCTTCCCTGTGCAGGCTTGGGTGGAAGCTGAGCGACAGCATCACCATTGGCTCCCCTCCTTGGCCCTCTTTGGGAAGGTTAACAGGGTAGTTCCTGCCCTGCCTCATCTCCCAGTGCATAGTGGACAACCCGTGGCCAGGAGCTGGGTTTTCTCCTCCATCCCTGTCCCAGGCTCCATTACCCCACAGTTCTCCTTTTGCATTTTGAAGCCTACATTGCCAGCACTAGAGAACTAGCCTGTCTCCTCCTAAATGTGCCGTGGGATCCGAGGGCTGCGTTCCCTGTGTGTCCCACCTGGAATAGGACTGGGCCGTTGCTATCCTTTGCAGCTGCCCTCTGCATTTGACACCAACAGCATGGTGACTCCCAACCACACCATGAGCCAGAGTGCGCTGGCTCCATGACCATTGTCCAAGGGCAGGGAAGTGGGTCTGACTGGCTTCATTTCCCTTTGCCCTTCCCTTGCTGCAGAGGGGCAGGTGGTGGTGGAGGGGATTATCCTTTGTAGTCTGCTTAATTGCCTCATTATTGTGCTGAGCAAACAAATCCTGGCATCAGCTGAGCGTGGCCGCTCCTAGAAATGCATTCGGGAGTTGGCAGAGTCCAGCTGGCATGGGAGAGCAGCCTCGTCCATAGACAGGCGCCTGGATCGATACCAACCATCAACAGGTGCAGGAAGTGAAGGGAGCTGTGTACGTGGCCGTGGGAGGATATGAATCAGCCTGTGACCCTGACCACCCCCCATGCCCTTCACAGCTAATGCACACATACCCCTTTTCTGTTTTTCAGACTGTCAGCATCAATAAGGCCATTAACACACAGGAAGTGGCTGTCAAGGAGAAACACGCCAGAAATATCCTTTACAGAGTTGGCGGCAGGACAAGCAAGCGTGGGAGTCAACTGGAGACTGGCTGGAAGGCAGCTGGGGCCAGGTGGAGGTGCTGGTGTGGAAGTGGGCAGAGAGCAGCCATCATAGCAAAAGCCCCTCATGGACTGGTTGCGACAGAGACTTTGTGGGGTTCCCCTCTGCTGAATGGAGGGGTGGAAGCCAAGATCCCAGTGGGATCCCCTCTGCCCAGCAGAAGGAAGAGTGGGATTCCTGGGGGGAAGCATCCGAGTGGGCAAGGGAGGGCAGTGAGGAGTGATTCCAGGACAGCACCACCCTTTCTCTCCCTGGTGCTGTAGCCTTGATCTCTGAGCAGGTCTGTGCCAGCGGCTGCTTGGAGTTGTGTCCATGCTTGGCACTCCCACCGCTGACATGCCCACCCCCCCGGAGCTGCCCCAAGGGTGGGAAATGTTAGCGTGGAAAGGCCTAGCCAGGCAGAGGGGCCGTAGCTGCAAGAAGGGGGACGGTGTTGTCATTCCTCACTTGTTACCTCCACCCAAGTGAGCTTTAGCGCAGTTGTAAATACCAGGTGTGCTTAAGCCTAAACAGCCCAAAGGTCTGAATAGTTAAGATCCTGCTGAAGAAAAATATGTATTTTGGCAGCTCTGCGGCTGACCGGGAGCCAGGATCGCACAGCAGGTGCAGCTTCCAAATCGTTCCACTTTGTAGGGAGAAGAACTGGGGAGCTTTTTGCTCTCTGAACCCATGGAGTGTCCTTCCACTGCCTCTGCATCGCCCAGATCCCAGCTCCAGGGCCAAGGTAGTGGGGGCAGGAGAGAGTTCAGCCTAGAGGCTCTGGGGACTGGTGGATCCTCTGAGAGCTTTAGTGAAGCTCCTGGGCCATTGCTGTCAAAGCATGGGAGGGTTCAGGGGGAGCGATACCTGTCAGTGCTGGGAATGGGGAGCTGGGTGATGTGTTTCCCCCAGACAAGTCTGGACTCAGTGACAGACCTAATTCTCCTAGGTGCTCTGGGGGTTCAGCCCCAATGGGGGCACGGGGGGATCTTCCTGAGGGTCTCTTTGGAAGGGAGAGGGTGTGGCGCTGGAAGGGGTGGGGGCTGCTTGGTTTGAACCCCCGGGGCAAGTGTGTTCCTGGGCTGAGGCAGTGACTTGGGAACAGTGCTTCACCTCTCCCTGGCTGAAAGAACAGAATGTCCCCAGCCATTTGAAGTTCTCTGCTGCCTAGCTGAGGCTTGAGCTCTGGGCTGCAGGTTAGCTGTCCAGTGTGTGGTGAGCTCAGCAGGCAGGCTGGCAGGGGCTATGCTCATTCCACCTTCTTGAAGAGAAACAAGCTCCAGCAGCTTACAGGAGCAGCTGTCTTGATTTATCTGATGGCGGAATGTCCGTTGTGGGGCTGTTTCCAGGCTGGCATTCTGCATGGGGCCCTTTTGTTTTCGTCTCAGGCCTGTTTTCAGTGGGAAAGCTGCTAGTGCACGGGATCCCAGGCCCTGGAGATAAAGCTTCACTGGAGTCCTGTTGTCTTTTAGCTTCTTGATGCAGCAGGCTGCCTGCCATGCCAGTCCCCTTTCTGCTTTTCTAGTCTATAGCAAGAGTTAGCGTGGCTGTTCTGCTTCCCAGAGCACTACACAGGGGTCTGTAGAAAACAGCCCTGCGGTGGCCTCATGTGACAGGACCTGGATGGCCTGTAGGCAGAGCTCTCAAGCATACTGGATTTAGTGGGACATTCTGTATTTCCACTTCATCGGGATGCCTGGTCCACTGCCCGTTGAGGTGGGCAGTGAGAAACTGTTTCACCTCCCCTGCAAAACAGCCTGTAGTCGAGGGAGAACAGAGAGAGTGGGAATCCAGGGATCATGAGTTCAAGCCTCACCTCTTCCATTCACTACTGCTTCTACTTCTGTGCATTTCATACCCCATATTGCTGACCCAGGCTTCAGCCCCCTGCCTTATGAGACAGGCAAGTATCAGCTCCTCCCCATTTGACTAACATTGCACAACGTCACTGGAGGCAGAACTGGCGTGGAACCTAGATCTTTAATCTAGCACACCCAAATTCCATTCACGCAGCCGTGCTGCCTTTTAGGCTGACTGTGCCAAATTTGTATGCCTGGCTGTCATATCTGCAGCTACCCTTCTGTCCATTCAGCCAAACTCCCCTCCTTGCCCCAGGAACCGAACCCAGGAATCATACCCCCCTTTTGCTTTAGCAAATAGTTGAGTAATCCACTGGCAGTGTGTGTAACATTCTCCCTCTAAAAAAGAAAAGGAGTACTTGTGGCACCTTACAGACTAACCAATTTATTTGAGCATAAGCTTTCGTGAGCTACAGCTCACTTCATCGGATGCATACTGTGGAAAGTACAGAAGATCTTTTTATACACACAAAGCATGAAAAAATGGGTGTTTACCACTACAAAAGGTTTTCTCTCCCCCCACCCCACTCTCCTGCTGGTAATAGCTTATCTAAAGTGATCACTCAAAGGAGAGTGATTAGATAAACTGTTACCACCAGGAGAGTGGGTTTGGGGGGGGGGGAACCTGGATTTGTGCTGGAAATGGCCCAACTTGATTATCATACACATTGTAAGGAGAGTGATCACTTTAGATAAGCTATTACCAGCAGGAGAGTGGGGTGGGGGGAGAGAAAACCTTTTTTAGTGGTAAACACCCATTTTTTCATGCTTTGTGTGTATAAAAAGATCTTCTGTACTTTCTACAGTATGCATCCGATGAAGTGAGCTGTAGCTCACGAAAGCTTATGCTCAGATAAATTGGTTAGTCTCTAAGGTGCCACAAGTACTCCTTTTCTTTTTGCGAATACAGACTAACACGGCTGTTACTCTGAAACCTGTCATTCTCCCTCTAGTGGCTGATCCACACAGAGGGTAGCAGCTGCTGCTTTAGCTCAGCAGTCTGGGCTGGGAATCTGAAGGCCCAGGACTGATGAGGGGCAGAAGGTACATAGCAGATGTGTGCACGGCAGCAGGTTTCTGGGCAATTCCAGTGACAGTTGGGGAAGAAAGCAGCCAGGGGAGAGGAAGGTTTTGTTTTGGAAGCACGTTGTTGGCTGGCACCCTGAAAGGATCCGGCTTCCTTTCCCCAGCACAGCAGGGCCTGTGCACTCCAGGTACCTAGCGTCTTTTGTTGATGCACGCTGGCTGTCTCATTGCATGGGTAGAAACCTCTCTGCCAGAGGGGAGTTCCTAGTTGCTCTCTACCACTTTTCAGTGCCTTTGGGATCCAGAATGGGGTGAGAGGACATCTTGGGAGCAGCCAGGAAGCCTCATTGTCTCTGAGCTGTTGTGTTTTATGAGTGTCCCTGTCATTTCTGCACACTCTGAGCTAAGGGATTGGCTTTTCCTTAGCCTGCCTCTCACCATGCATCCTGGGAACCCACCACGAAAAAGGAGCTCAGACCTTCTGGTCTGTCGTGAATCGGCTGCCCCTCTCCAGCAACGCTGTGCTCTGTTGGAAGTTCTGCCACGTGTTCCACAAGCTCCTCCGCGATGGACACCCAAATGTACGTGCAGGGCCATGTCTCTAGTAGTGTGAGATGTGGGGGACACAGGAGAGGAATACTGTGATTGCCTCAAGTCCTTTCAGCCCCGACTGAGCCAGGAATAGGATGACCTCAGAGGCCATCTAAGTGTTGCCAACTCTTGTGACTTTTATTGTGGGCTTTGCAATATTTTTGTGTTTTTCTTAAGGCCTCAGCTCCTGGAGTCCTGTGACTACATGAGAATCCCAGCTTGCATTTTTTAAAAAAAAAGTACCAGTTGCAGAGCAAAGCACTCCTGGAGTTGCCAATGTGCACTAGTCATTGGAAAGTTGGGGGAGTGAGGGGTGATGAACAGGGTAGGAATATGCCTGCACTTATTGCTTCCATTCCCCCACGCCCAGCTTTTTGGCCTGCCCCACATCATATCCATTTCCTATCCCTACTTCCTTAAAGAGTCTGATGAGCCCCAGCATACCTGTCCTGATGTGCCGTGGCCTCTGCGTGCTCCTGGGTGCTCTCAGGCCCAGGTCTGCAGCAGACCAATGGCAAGAGGGCAGTAAAAAGGGTTAATGCATCATCGTCCCCCCCCATCCAAAAGTTGATCCCTGGGAAGGGAGGCAAGTATTCACCCCAGGACTAACCCTGCAGCCCTCACCATTCCCTGCCAGTCAGCCAGCGCTCTGTTCACCCCCGTTCTCTTCTCTCTCCTCCGCTAGAGGCCTAGGAAGCCCACTCCCTCAGCTACGTGGATATAAACAACAGTAACGCTGTGTCTCCTTCCCCCTTCCATCAGAGAGCCTCAAGCCACTTACAGTCAGGGACAAATTAAGCCCTGCTTGAGGAGGGTAAGATGGGATGGTCCTTTCCATTGTACAGATGGGGAAGCCGAGGCACAGAAAAGCAGTGACTTGCCCATGATGACACAACTAGTCTGGGACAGAGCTGGGAATAGAACCCAGGAGTCCTGATCCTCTTTTCTTGCTCTAATCACTAGATCAAACTTGCCCTACTAACTAGAGCTTTCCCCTCTGGTGCCAGGAGCCTGTGAATGTGGCTGGTTCTCTGGCAGCTTCTGTGCCCCTTCTTTACTCTCCAACTGCCTCCTCTCAATTTCCTTTGCAGGTCCTGAAAGACTCTCTGAGGTACAAGAACGAGCTGAACGACATGAGTAGGATGTGGGTGAGTGGCTGGCTTGCCATGGGAGAATTTCCTGCTGGATGCCATCTGATGCTCATGCTGGGAGGTAGTGCTAGGAAGCGCTGTGCCTCTTAAAGGAAGAACAGCAGGCCCTGGTGATGGTTTGCCGGGTACTTTGTCCATGGAGCGATAGGGAGAGCCTGATTGGAGCTAGGCAGACAGCTGCCTTCCTCCTTCTCCTGCCCTAAGGCTACCCAGAGCATGCCTGTCCCCAGGCTGCAAGCAGTAGAAGCCTTTATCACGGAGAAGCTAGCTCCCCGTTATCCGTGTGATTGGCATCTCCCCCAGGAGAGACCAGGCTCTGGATTGTTGTGCCTTTGGTGTTGCGTCTCTAGGAATGGGGGTGGAAATCAAACCGAGATTTAAAGTCAGCGCTGTTTGGAAATCATAGCTCTGCTTGACTTTCTAAAATCTTGGCTCCTCGTTGCTCCAGAATGGCTTGGCTTAGACACGCCAGATCTCTCTGGCCGGGTTGGCCTTGCTGAGAGGAGGGACCAAGCCTGAGAAATTGCATTGGGCTGAGTTTATGATGAAGAACGTTTATAACAGAGCTCCTGCTGCTAGGCCCAGCCATAGGTGGGGCACTAGACAGCAAGCGGAAATGGGATGAGACTGGCCTCCAAGAAGGGGGTTGGAGGGTGTCAGGGTCACAGGGAGTGGAGTGGCCAGGAGCCTGTGCTTGCCCATATCAGCATAAGGAGGGGGTACATGGAGGGGCACAGGGAGCCCCAGTAGCCTAGTGGAGATGGGGGTCATGGAGTGGAGCAGGTGAGAGAGGCCATGGAAGGTGGTGAGTGCAGGGAACCTGGGGAGACAGGGAAAGGCATGGTGTTTAAAATTTTCAGTGTGGATAGATGCCTCTTCCCCTGAACCACTGCCCTATACGCTGTCCACTAAACTGATATGCTGCCATGGGGCCTTCACACAGACCTCCCATGGGCTTGCTAACATCTGGCCAAAGGAAATCCTGCTTTGAGGAGCCTCACAAAATCTGTAAAAGATCCTAAATGGAGCAGAGCTCCTCTCCGGCAGAGCTCAGACAGAAACTCAGGGTGAGCTATGGGAGCTCATTTTAAATAGGTGGGGGCGGTACAAGAAATTCGTAAACAAAAACCATGTGAAAGGAGAGTTATGGTTGAAAGTTAGTTTCACTGGAGTCCAGCGAAAACCCAAAATATTACCCTGGCTTCACAAAAACACTCCAGCCCCTTCAAAACCCAGCTGTTAGGCGGGATGCTAGCAGCTAAAGGACCAGTTCTTTACTCTTTGTCCTTCACACTGTCCACCCAGCCTTAACTTTGCCTCCTGATGCACTGAGCAAAAATATACACGGAGGTCAAGATGATACAATTGTGTAATCTCAATTCTCATTCCTGGGATCCATGTCCAGTCAGTTGACCCCAGAAAAGGGGTGAATTTTGACTCTGCACAAGGTGTGGACTGTGTTTGTTTGAGGAAGCTGGGAAAGGCACCGGCTCATTCTTAATAGTGAATGGCGATTATTTTGGTTTGACGTATTCCTGATGTATCTGCAAGCAGTTCTGAGTCTCTCCTGAGTGACTGTGAAGGCAGGAGTGTCTCTGCTTCGCTCCCTGTCTCGTTGGGGACAGTATGGATGTTTGCTCATTTGGGGTGGGGGCAGGGGATTCCCCAATAATCAGTTACAAAAGATTCCAATCCCAACAGCTAATTTCACACAACACAGAGTTTCGAGAGGGTAAGGGTCCATATTAACAACCTAAGGGGCTTTGTGAAGGCCAAATGTAGCCACTGGGCATTCTGTTACCTGGCGGAAAACAAGTAAAACCCATCCTAACTTGGGGGGACCTGTTGACTTCAGTAATGGCTCTTTGCACAGGGGGCTGCATGAACAGAGTCAGTGGGGATCCACAAAGGCACAGGTGTCAGCCGCATAGGCGCTATTGCAGGATTGGGGCCAATTAGTACACTAGCCATGGTGCCTGCTGTTGGTTTAAGGGCTGAAATGGGACCTGTTTAGAATGAGCCACACTTGCCCTGCAGCCCCCTCTAGCCACATCACAAGGAGTGTGTTGTCCTGTTGGGTGTGATTTAAAGTTGATGTGGGCAGATCAGGAGCCCTGTAGCAAACAGGATTGGTTGTGCAGGATCCCTGGCGGGGGGAGGGGGGGACACACACGTTAGCAGATTCCCCTCCCCACTGCTGAGTGCAGTTACTTAATATCGTAAGATTTCCTCAGTACCTGAGCCGGGGTCGCAGGAGAGCCCACTGGGCTGCTGCCAGTCCCATAGCTTGTTCTGGAGTTCCACCACCGACCATTCAGGCTAATGTGGCAGACGAGATTTCAAAGGGAAGACCAGGAGTTACGTGAGCAGTTGCTGAGCCATCTGATGCCAAGAAAATGCCTGTGGTTGACTTGGGATATGAAGCAGAACTGTCAGGAGAATGAAAAGCAACAAGCACAACAAGATCCTCCACACGCTGCAGCCAGAGAGAGCAATAGGCACATGGGTCTCGCCTGTGTTAGGCTCTGTCTGGGAAGTCCTTGTCATCAGCAAAACCCAGTTCTTTTGGCAGCTTTGCCTATACCCCACTGTGGAGAAATGGGCTGCAGTTAGATGAACAGGCCCATTTCCTGTCCAGGCCAATTCCACAGGCCAGAGATGAATTCACTTGTTGCTAATAGACTAAGTCTGGCACCACAAAGGCTCCTGGTTGCTGTACGGTACATCAAATAAAACATTCACTAAGTAACAAACAAACTCAGTTCTCAATGTCTCTGTGATAACCCACCACCCTCTGTGCAGAATGGGGAGCTAGAGCTGGAGACGTTAAGGGCTGTCATTAAAATGAGTCAAACAGGAAGGATTACGAATTCCAAAAAGAGGCAAAAGAATTGGCAGCGTGCACGCCCAGACAGACATGCAGGCAGAGTCCTGCATGCCCAGGCGCACAGACACACACACAACTTTTTGTCTTGCTTTGGGTTCTGCTCTGTCCTTTGACAGGTTCCATTCTTTGGGTTTTTCCCTTCTGGTCCCAGGGATGTGTTTGTATGCGGCTAACCAGTGAGCAGCAGATTTCGTGTGCTCCCAGCAAGCACATCTCTGCTTGCCCTCCCTCTCCCCACCACCCCCAAGCAACTCCAGTGACTCTTCTCAGCTGGGGCAGAATTTGGCACCTGTCCTTTTTCTTTGATTGCTAATACTTTCCCATCACCCTTCCTGGGCAGCAGGCTTTATGCACTCACTGCCTGCTTTTTGTTAGCATTAAACCAGCCCTGTGCAAGTTGCTGCCACTGGAAAGAGGTGCGTTGCCATCTCGTCTCTGTGTAAGTTAGTTCAGCCATTTGTTCCCTGCCCAAACCTGTAAGCCTTATGCCTCTAGGTAGCTGTGGAACCTCTTGAAATGGTGGAGCATAGCTCTGCTAGGGAACCAAGCAGCGGGGTTAGCCCGGAAGCAACAGATGCTCAAAGGGGGCCCGCTGTGAACTGTAACCTGGCAGGCTGGGGGACCACCTGCTCTCAGAGCACGTAGGGCCAGATCCAGTCTCAGATGCATGTGAAGAGCTCCCACTCACTTCAGTGGCAGAATTTTGTGTTCAGTATGAAATGTTAAAATAAGTAAAAGTCCAGGGTACGGAGGTGGTGGTTAAACCCCAGCTCTGCAGAAGCAGGAGATTTAAAATTGTAACGCTGGTACCAAGGCCAGCTAGTCTGGTTAGGGATTCAGCCAGTCCAGCAGCTAACTTGGCTGAGTGTCCCAGTTATTGGCTGAATAATGCTTCATGCAGAAGGGGGCCATGCCAGTTGGTCTCTGATTTAGTACATCTGCTGCACATCTCACCCTGAGACCCTCCCAGAGGCTGGCTGAGCCTGTTCACCCTGATCTTTAAACATGGTATCAAGATCTTCAGGGATATGTTGGGAGTAGAGGTCAGATATCGGAGCCTAACGTCTCTGAGCCTTCTCATGTCTGATCATGCCACAGTCCAGGGTGTATGCAAAGGGGACAACAGCCCACTTGCCGAGATGCATCCCAGCATGTGGGTGATGTTCTCCTAGCGGGTGGGAGGGTATGGTGGATCAGTGTTGTGTGGTCTGGTGTATGCCGCATGTTGTAAAGATTCATTCCCTGGTTACTGTGAGGCTTCCCCCCCCCCCCCCTTTCTGGGGGTTTTTAACGACACGCTGGTCAATCTGTCTAGCTGACGGAGACGAGCATGGCGTAAGTACCAATGCTGTTGGCTCGATCTGGCAGTGTCAGCGATTGTGTTGCATGCAGTGACCTGGCTAGCCTGGGAAACAATGGGGGAAATGCTATTGTGTGTGTCCAGTACTGAAGCAGCAGAGCCCAGCTCGGAGGGCAGCCGGCAGTGCTCAGGAGCTAGGAGCAAACAGACCTTGTCCTGCAGTGAGTGCCTCAGGAAACGGGGAGCCCTGTGAACGGAGAATGTGGGTTGCAGATAGTTACTTATTGGTGTAGAAAGATCAGTGACTTGAAATGTGCAGCGTAGGTAAATAAGGGGGTGACGCACACAGTGGCTGAGCCATGTGAACTGTTTGTGTACCGGGGTGAATAAACAAACCCAGACAAGCGGGAAGACAGGAATGTATAAAGCACAGGGGGAGATTTTGTAGGCCTGAGTCTTAAAGGCATCATGCGATTCCAGAAGCTGCCAGCCTCTCCAGTAGGGAAGGTGCAAACCTCAGCATCCCAGAGCAGCCAGGGGCAGGCTTCTCACCAGCATCAGACCTTGTGCCTCATTTTCTGCTTTCTCCTGTTCCACAGAGTCACCTGAGTGAGGGCTACGGGCACCTGTGCAGCATCTACCTCAAACTGCTGAGAACCAAAATGGAGTTCCATACGAAAGTAAGGCCACATCTCGTCCCCACCTCCTTTCTTCCCTCCAGACAGACCATGCTCTTCCCACCCACATCTGGTCCATTCAAGGGAGCTGAGGTCTGTTGATGGGGTCTCTTGCAGCCCCACCCCTTCAGTCCCCCAGGTGTACACTCTCCTCTGTGAGCTAGGCTGGGAAGCAGAATTATCTCTCTGGATGCATCTACACTGCATGCTAAGCCTGGGTCTGTGGACTCAGTGTTTCCACATCCACACGACAGTGGGCATGTGGGTTTATGATTGCTAGGCCTCGGTCTCACAGCCCTGTCCAGACTGCACTACGCAGACCTGCTGGCTCGGGTCTGCAGCCTGAGCACAATGACAGGGTTTGGTCCTGAGCCTCAGTGGGACTCAGGGTCTCACCCACCCCGTAGCGGGGTCCTAGGCCCTGGGTCCTGAGCGCTTGCTGGCCTGAGTCAGACTGATTTGTTTGTGCACGGAATGGGGGCTTGTGCTCAAACCTGAGCCAGAGCCTGGGCTGAGTGTGCCGTGTAGACATACTGTCAGTGCCCCTTGTGTCACATGCTTCCAGCCAGCCGGTTGTGCTGGCAGGACACAGAACTAATGGCCTAGGTAAGGGTGGTGTCAGAACTGAGCTCTGGAGATCCCAGGAGTGACCCTTTAACTAACCTCCCACCCAGGAGGCCTAGAGCTGGTCATTGCCTTGCTGTTGGGAGGCTTGTGTGCTGCCCCACCCAGGGCTAAGTCGTCGTCCGTCCCCGTCCCGTCCGGTGGCTGCCCGGTGGCCTCTTTGAAGAGTTGGTGTCCTCTGGCCAGGTCTGAGTGAACAGGTGTCCAAAGCACAGTTAAACCTCTGAGCCTGCATCAGAGAGGCCAAGGAATCAGGGGGCCATGGGGAATGGCCCATAGAGGGCAGGGTCGGGCAGCCACTTGTAGTGTCCTGCTGTTGTTTGGCAGATGTGCCTGCTGGTTCCCTTCAGTTGCCAAAGGCCTCACCTCAGGCAGCTGTACTGGGGACAAGGCTGCTCTCCGAGGCGTCAGCTCTGCACAAATCCACATGCGCTTCCTCCCTGCCAATCCAGCCAGCACAAAGCAGCCAGCCCCAGTGCTCAGCAGGGCAGTGCCCCTCTCCCAGAGGTGAGGTCTGGGCCTAGGTTGGCTGGCCTAGAGGTGAGGGTCTGCCCCTGCCTGTGAGCTGCCCCCTTTCATCAGCCAGGAGTGGGAGCAGCTGTGTGTCCAGCTGGAGGAGGTGGGGGCAGCCAGCAGCAGATGGGCGCAGTATTTGTGGGGCACGAGAGGAGGCAGCTACCTGAGGAGCCCCAGAGCCCTTCTCCTGTACGTCGCTGCCCAGGTCAGAGCAGCTGTGCCACGCAGAGTGTGGCCTTGCTGGGAAACTTCGGCATGAGGTTTGGTGTCCAGCTGTGATGCTGCTGGCCCGGCGAGCCTAGCTGGGTGGAAACTAGATGGATGTGTGGCCGTTGGTCGCTGTTCAGTGCCTTTGAAGCCCACCGTGTGACTGTGTGAGTGTAAACTGCAGCGGCATTTTTCTGCACTGGACGCTGCCCTTGGGCACTTAGATGGGAGCCAGTGGGGTGGCTTTTAAAACCCAGAGAAGAAACGTTGGCTGAGGGCGGTGAGCCTAGCCTTTCACTGAGAGGGGGTCCGCGCACCTGGGCAAAGCATGGCAAGAGAAATCTCCCTGTAGCCCCACAGCCTGGGAGCCAGCTCTGAGCCATCCCTCCAAAGCAGTTCTGTGACCTGAGCCCCTTCCATTGGGTGTTTGGAGATCCCTGCCGGGTGCACACAGCCACTCCTTCAAATACCACCTGGGGTATCAGGGGTCTGCCTCTAATCAGAGATGGCTACTTGGTCTTCACTGTGGTAAGGGCAAGCCTAAAAGGCACTAGGGTGCCTGCGGCCCCGTGCTCTGATTCCTCCCTCTCTCCCATCATGCAGAACCCCCGGTTCCCAGGCAATCTCCAGATGTCTGACAGGCAGCTTGACGAGGCAGGAGAAAACGACGTTAATAACTTGTAAGTCCAGAGCGCGAGAATCAGGGCACGTCCGTGGTGGAATTACTCCTGCCGTAGCAGATAATCCAGCCGCAGAAGACAAGGGGGAATCTCTAGGAGTGGCAAAGGGCTGCCAGGGCCATGGCACCCCATCAGGGTCTCTCCCTGGCATTGCTGTGTGAGCCATGGGCAGAGGTCATGGCCACCCTAACGGGAACCCTGGTGTCGTGTGTGCCCATTGGCTGGGGCTGGGACATCCCTCCTGACTACCCCTTATAAAACAGTACTCCACAGTAATGGTTGGCTAGACACCCCCCACCACCACCACCCCCGGGGCTTCTAGCCAGCCCCCCATCCCCCCAGGGTTTTGCGGGAGGGGGCTGGGTGGCCTCTGTTTTGTTTGTAACATTCTTGTGCCCTCTTTCCTAGCTTTCAGCTGACGGTGGAGATGTTTGACTATTTGGAGTGTGAGCTGAACCTGTTCCAGATGGGTAAGGCTCTCGCTTCCACTTGCATTGCACTTGTTCTGCACTGTTGACATATAGCTGTGGGGCTGGAGCAGCCTCGCTAGGTGCTGCAGTGACGTCCCTCTCTGCCCGGCTGAGCGTGGCCCCGACAGCCAGCGTGTATGTGGGGGCGCGGTGGGTCAGAGTGTTTGAGGTCCCAGTCCAAAGCTGCTGTTCGCTCTCTGTGTGTGTCCATCTGTCCTGCCTAGGTGCAGGAAGGGAGTTGACTGAGGGCATCTGAGCTCATCTGTTTTCCATGCATTCCACCAGAGTTGTTATTAGCTGAAATTATTTCATGTCAGACCAAATGTGCCTGGCTCCTCCCAGTCTGCCCAGCCGCAGCCTGCCTGCCCTCCATTCCAGCCAGCCATGCCAAGCCTCCAGGAACCACCTCCACCCCGCGGCATTCTGCACCTCCTCCCCACACCCTCCTTGGTTTGCTTCCCATCTCCGAGTTCTCCCGGGCTTGAATTTCTTCCTTTGCCCTTAGCTCTGGGGTTTATGGCTTTCATGACTGGCGAGAGCAGCTTTCTCCTTGCAAACCCATCACAGAGATTCTGTGTGCTTCAGGGCTTGCTGTGGTGGGGGAGCGACTGGCTCTGCAATGTCTGCTCCTACGGGTCGCAGTGGAGCAGAGAGAAAATAACGAACCAGTCTCCACAGTGTACACTCAGGTGCTCAGCTGCCTCGTGCATCCACGTAATGCTGTAGGATTCTGCTTGTTGGGCTGAGTTAGAGCAGGGTGATTACTGCTCACGCTGTGCCACATGGGTGCTGTGGCTATCCTAGAGTGGAGGTATTCGCTTGCATTGGAACAGGAGTAAAGCAATATGTCAGCGTATGGAGGTTCCTGGATATTGCCATTTCAGATGAGGGGTGATACGGTTGGGTCCTAGCATGGAGGGTTCCCGGAGGATGTGCTTTAATAGAGTCAGCGTGGTGCGGCTGTCTCGCAGTGCTAAAGGCTGTAGAACCGGAGCTGCGAGTACAGCCAATGGAATCCGGCTGTGTCCCAGTGTTGAAGGGCTGTGTTGCAACTGACTGTCAGGATCCTAGTTGTGGTAGGCTTTACTCCACTGGCATTACTGCATCTCTAGCAGGGCAGTTGCTCACATGTGATGGAGTACAGAAGGTGGGGGGAGCTGTGTCTCCAGACAGCAGGTGGCCTGGTTCTGCACTGGGATGTAGCCTGGGTGATCCCGTCGTGTCTGTTATGAGCTTATGTACGGTGATAGAGCAGGATAAGGGTAGTCACATCTGTGGATTAGTCTCCCACAGTCCACTGGACAGACAAGATGGCGCCTTTGTGTCTCATGGGCTAGCATGGGTAATGCAGTGATCCTTGGAGGGACAGGCCTGGGGTGCAGTGCAGTGATCACAGGGCCAGTCCGGGGGTAACACCATGCCCCAGTATATGCAACCTGCCACCAGAACAGGAACCGAGAGTAACAACAATTGAACACATGGGATCAAACCCCGACCGGGGTGGGACTCCATAATGGGGGGGGGGGGGCTGTACCCACCCCAACAGAAACCTGCGGGGTGAGTCTCTTTCTTTCATAAACTTTGGTAGCATTTGTACAGTTTGTCACATCAGAGTCTCATTGACCTGAACTAAGACAGCATCTAGCATCGCCATGGTGGCTCACAAACACCAGTGAACCGGGCCCCATTCACTAGCCCCACTGTACAGACGGAGAAGGTGAGGCACAAGGCTGATCAATGACTTGGCCAAGGGCCATAAGACAGGTCTGTGGGAGCCCTGAAAGTAGAGCCTCCATCTCCTGACTAGCCGGCCAGCGCTTCAGCCACGTACCCCTCCTCCTTTCCCTGCCTCCGTGTCTGCAAGGGAGCAGTACAATGCCGCTGTGCCTCTGTGCGCTGACATCTCTGCAGCCCTGCGCAGGTACTTGTCTGATCCATGCAGCTTCATAGCCCCACTGGGAAGGAGGGAGGCCCTGTAATGAAGTTGGCGTTGTTTTTCTGCTGCTAGCCTAAGTGAATTAAGCAGGGCTAATATCAGCTCTGCCCATTTACATGTCATTAGCTTAGCTTTTGATTTACTCTTAAATCACTGCTCAACTTCCCTGCTAATTACTGGGGATCTCACTTCATTATCCGAATGGGAGGGGAGGCAGGCAAGCCAGTGGAAATCCAAACTGACTCCCTGCCTCCTGCTGCCTGGGCAAGGATGACATTGCTAATTGTCCCATTGTGTGCATCCCCAGCTAAGGAGAGAGCAGGCTAGCCCGGTGCATTAGCATGAGTCAAGCGACAGGTCCCCGGGGAAAGGCCCCCGGGGAAAGGCCCAGTGCTCCCCCTTGGGGACGTAGATGCTTCAGCTATCAAAGGAAGGAGATGAAGAGAGTGTGAGTCTCTGTTTGGTGCTATGTACAGAGCACAGCTGCAGGTGTGATGTGAATGGGTTCCCACAGCAGCAAGGCCTGTGGGAGGCACAAGAGGGTGTTCTTGGGGATGTGGAGCCTGCCTGCCTGCCTTTCAAAGTCTATTGCTGCTCTCTGTCCATCTTCAGATGTCGCTGCCCCTTTTGGGGTTCTGCACTCTCCTTGGATCCCCACTTTCTTTGTGATTCCACCCACCACTGATGTGCAGCCCTCTTTGAGCCAGAGCACAGCAGCTGTTCATTCCTCACCGTGAGGTCCTTTGACCTTCCTTTGGTTCTGGAGCAGGATGGGTGTGGTGAGTGGGGCCTGCAGCCGAGGAGAGAGATAGGGACAGATCCATGTGTCCTTAAAGCTGTGTTGTCCCACCCGGTGTCTGCCTCGTTTAGGAATAACACGTTACAGAAGAGCAGGGGTTGTCTCTGTCCAGCATAGATTGACTCGAACCTGACTAGGGATCTCTCCAGCGTTCACTGGGGGCACATCTGGCATTCAGCACGGGGATTCTGGGGTGAATTCTTGAGACGTTGGCACTGGACTCAGTAAACGGGCAGACGCCAGGGGAAGGTGACCTTTCTCCCGGTCCTCCCTATCTCTTCTTCCGTCTCTCCAGGCACCCATGCTCCAGTGGGAGTTTAGAGGACGTGCATAGCGAGGATGTCATAGAGGACCTCTCCCTTCAGGCAGGTGGCTCGGCAGGTATGAGTGCCCCACGGAGAATGATGCGGGACCCTAAAGCTAGCAGCTCGACGCCCATATGGAGAAACAGAATCGCTAACTCTGTCAGCCAGGTCTGGGATGCCGGGGGAGAGCTGTGCTAAGCAGTACTGCATGCTCATCGCCGAGCACTGGTGCACTCCTAAGGATTTCCTTGTGCCATTGATGCACTGATGAAGTCTATCCCTCCCTTTCCTAACATCCCCGGAGGGATGCCGGTGTCTGCCCCTGGATTTCTGCTCTAGCTTAACAAGAGTGGAATGGCTGTACCCTGACTACCTGGCATTGGCCAGGTGGCTAATGAACATACATAAGAACAGTCATACTGGGTCAGACCAAAGGTCCATCTAGCCCGTTATCCCTGTCCTCTGACAGTGGCCAGTGTCTGGTGCCCCAAAGGGAATGAACAGAGCAGGTCATCATCAAGTGATCCATCCCCTGTTGCCCATTCCCAACTTCTGGCAAACAGAGGCTAGAGACACCATTCCTGCCCATCCTGGCTAATAGCCTGTCAGGATTCCTTCCCCACTCTGACCTCTGGGTACAGATGTGGGGACCCACATGAAAGACCCCCTAAGCTTATTTTTACCAGCTTAGGTTAAAAACTTTCCCAAGGCACAGATTCCGCCATGTCCTTGAACAGTATGGTGCCACCACCAAGTGATTTAGACAAAGAACCAGGGAAAGGACCACTTGGAGTCCTATTCCCCCAAAATATTCCCCCAAGCCCTACACCCCCTTTTCAGGGAAAGGCTTGAGCATATATCCTCACCAATTGGTACAGGTGAACACAGACCCAAACCCTTCAATCTTAAGAACAGTGAAAAATCAATCAGGTTCTTAAAAGAAGAATTTTATTTAAAGAAAAGGTAAAAGAATCACTTCTGTAAAATCAGGATGGTAAATACTTTACAGGGTAATCAGATTCAAAACACAGGATTCCCCTCAAGGCAAAACTTTAAAGTTACAAAAAAAACGGGATAAACCTCCCTCTAGCAAAGGGAAAATTCACAAGTTGAGAAAACAAAGATAAACTAATACGCCTTGCTTGGCTGTACTTACAATTTCTGTAATATGAGAGACTGGTTCAGACTGGTTTGGAGGACATGGATTGATGTCCGGTCCCTCCTAGTTCCAAGAGCGAACAAACACAGAAACAAAGAACCCAAAACAAAGCCTCTCTTTCCCCTCTTTCCCCCCCACACCTTTGGTCAGGTGCGAACCAGGTTATTTGAGCTACTTAACCCCTTACAGGTAAGGAGGAATTTTAGGCTAACCTTATGGTTATGACATAGCCATTGATGGACCTATCCTCCTTGAATCTATCTAGCTCCTTTTTGAACCCCACATGGGAAAGCTGGGTGCTCACAGGCAGAGGCCACTGTTGGAAGCAGCATATTCATCCTCTGGGAAAGGAGGAGACATCTCATAGAGCTCCTTGCCCCCACCCCTAAGGGCTGGGAGCCCTGCACACAGCCTGTGAGAGTTGCTCTAGGCCTCAAGTTACTGAACTGCAACCCTTCCAGCCAGCCAAAGAACGGCACTGAGGAGGTGCGGAGGGCAGCTTGGAGGGGCAGGGGAAAAAGGAGAGGAAATACGGGACGCTTGAGTGCTCCAGCAGGAAGGGGAAAGGAGTGATTTGCTCTGGGTGCATGATGAGATAGGACCAGGGAGGAGACCTGGTCCCTGGTGGGGATGTCTGTGCAGTGCCCTGTGCCCACACGCAGCGGCAGTCCCAGCTTTCAAGCACTGTCTTTTCTGTGGGGAGCGGTACCTTCCACTCGGAACCAGCTGACCCACCCCCATCTGCAGCAGTTACTCCCTAGGAAGCCACAAAGGTGGCTCCATTTCCGCCAGCTCCTCTACTGCTGTGCTGTTAGAAAGTACCCTACAGCCCTTGCTTCCAGACGCAGTCTGTGCAACATGGGAGAGGAATCGGAGTGCGCTGGCAGAGCCGCACCACGTGCAGAGCGAGCCGGCAGCCAGGCGAGAACCACATCAAGGCGCCTGCAATGGCCTCCTTGCTTAGTGCAGTGCAGCCACAGGGTAGAGCCATGCGGCCATTGGGGAGATTGCTGGCAGCCATTGGTCTGAGAGGCTCTGGAGAGACCTGACTAGTCAGCAGAGTTCTCCAACTGTCCATTGAATTAAGTCAAGTGCAATCGGGAACATGGGGCCTTGCCCACCCCGACTAATTTCTGCCTAGCTAACATAGCACTGGCTGCCTGTAGCAGCCTGGGAGTGCTGCCATCATGGTGGCACCATGCCCTGCTGGCTGCAGCATGTAAACACACACTTTTCTCCCCCTTCCAGACTAAGGACCCAATCCTTCAATTGATCCAGGCGGAAGGAGGCAGACATGGAAGAGAGATATGGTATAATCCTGGTCCCACTGAAGTCAGTGAGAGTTTTTCCATGATGTCTGTGGGCCCAGGATTTTGCCTGTTGTCTTTCTTCTCTGTGTATTGCAAATCAGTGTAGACATGAGCCAGCATTCTGCTCACTCTGAGATGTTTCTTGAGTCGCCTCACATTAGTATGCATGGTGCATCTCTGAGCCAGAGCAGCCTACCCGCTCATTGCAAACCAGGGGCACATTTCTGTGATCAGAATGTGGGGAGTTCTCCCATCACTGGCTCCCTCACCATCTAGCGTCATGCAGTGCTTTGCCTTTCTGTTCAGTGAGAAACAAAGGGCAAGCAGAGAGTGATTGCTGGGTACAAGTGAGGGGTGACTAATGCTCTGCCTGAAGACTGAGCAAGCAGGGCACGGTGGACTGGGGACGGGATCAGAGCTCCAGATGAAAAGGAAAGAGCTGTCATTTCTGGTCTGGCCTTGTTCATCTGCTCTGATGCTGACTGGGATACAAATAGTAAGTGATATTGATCCTTGTGCTCTTCTGTCCCTGCTGAAATGGAAGGGTAAATTCATCCTGGTCACCAGCCAGCCCAGGGCTGGGTCCAAGTGCTGGAACATGGACGGGGACATGAAATGGGCAGTTGGTGTGATTTACCACAGCAAGCCTGTGTCCAGTAAACGAAAGTCCGGCTTTCTCCAGCTAGTCCCTTCAGAACTGTTTCCAAAGATGGGGGCGATGGTAAAACTGTGCCAGAGGACTGGGGGCGCTTGGCTCCAGGAGTGCACACCCAGGCTGTACAGAGACCTGTTGGAGGCTTGATACGCCAAACAACATCTCCATAAAAATAAAACCCCTTCCGAGCCTCCTGTACCCCTCAGGAGGGAGCCGAGAAGGACCTGGTGCCAGTGCTTTCAGCCCGGATCCTTAAAGGGTGTTAGGCACCAAACTCCCTTTGATTTTCCTTTGCAGCCCAAGCCACTCAGATCACCGGAGCACAAACAAAGCAGCTGAGAAATGTTCTAGACAATTACTGCAAAACTTGCAGTATTGACTCAGGGAAGCAAATGATCCTAGTAGGATAGTGCTGCCCTTGCACCATGGCCAGTCGGAGCCTCCGCGAGGGCAGAGTTGGACTCACTCCTGTAGTGTCAGCGGCCACTGCAGCTGGTCCGGTTGGTGGTGTTTGGCAGACGGTGCTAACGGGGCGACCTGTTCAGAGCGCTGTTCGTTCAGAACCAGTTCCCTTCAGGGCTGCGGCCGAGCATGAGACATTCCATCCCCAAAGGGCCAGTCTGTTAAGCCACAGGAGCACTGGGCTCCATTCTTGCAGCAACTACAGCTGTGCTGGGCCTGATATACCTGAATGAGGGAAGAATTTGGCCCATTACCTTTGGGGTCCTGCCTGCTTCTCCCTTTGTGACCCATCTCCAGAGGCAGGTTCTGCAGTGGAGCACACATCTGCTAGGCCCATGGGCTTGCCCAGGTGGCTTAGCGTTGCGCTTTCAATGCTTCTCCCCTGAAACTAAGGTTCGCACATTGCAACCCCTGAACCCTGGTGGATACGCTGAGCGTCTGGGATTGGAATGGGGATTGAGGACTAACCTACATGCCTGCTCCGTGCGGGGCTGGACATATTGTATTGACCCACCTGGTCGGGTTGCTTAGTGTTGTGTTACATCAGACCTCTTGGTAGCACACCAGATGTACCATGATTCAAATGCAAGCACTGAAGAAATATTAGCTGCTAGGCCCTATTTGCTCTAGCACTTGGCAGTCCCAGGGGGCACTCAGATAAAAGGGTGACGTACTAGGGCAGGCAGAAGTGGTCAGTGGCTCAAAAGTAATTCCTAGCATGGCCCTTTGGGGGCACCCACCAGAGTTAGGACTTCTCGGGCTTGGGGGGGTGCCCCTTTTTGTCCATTGCTCTATGATAAGCGGTGAGGTATCCCTGCAGGTCCCCGGCCTGGATTCTGTTCCAGGGTGAGTCTCGCTGGGGGGGCCACCCGCATTGTCCTGTCCCAGTGCAGCCGCTCCTCCCAGCAGGTATCCAACTCGGGGCAGCCACTCCAGCTCCTTGCACAGGGGCTGCCACACCTCAGCTGCCTTCAAACGCTGCACTCCTCCCAGTCCCAGCCCACAAGAAACCCTCCCGGCCTGACCCTCTCTTGAGCAACCCTGCTGCCAGCAGACATGGAAACTTCCTTCTCCTGTTACTCTACGAGCCCCCAGCAGTAGAGGGGGACAGCACCGAATCTCCTCTCAGCAAATTGATCACAACGTGTGTAATATACACATAGGAGAGATCCCTCCTCAGTGTCAAACACTTAACCAGCTTTGTCCACTGAAAACTGCTAGCGAACTACCTGAATGTCCCTTATTCATCTGGTTACCAGGTGTTTCCGACCATGGCCGTGTGTCTCACAGTATGGGAGCAGCTCCCCTGAGCACAGATTACCTTAGCAAAGCCGTGGATAACGGTGGCCAGTGCAGTTTTCTGTCAGCTCCCTCATTCGCTTTCCTCCTTTTGGCTTAAAACCGATGGAATTTGGTTTTTCCCAAAGTTCCTATGAAATGAGGATAGAGACTCTTAGGTTAGCATGGAGGGGAGGAAAGGTACAACAGCCGAGACGTACAATAGTCTGGATGCTTCAGTGTAGTGATATGAGCAGCTGTGCAGAATATTCTCATGGTGTGTGTGTGTGTGTACAACGGCAAAGTGTACTTATATGAGCAGCTGTGCAGAATAACCTCATGGGATGGGTGTGTGTGTGTGAGAGAGAGAGAGGGAGATCAGTGAATTTCATGGAACAAGCCCTGAGCACACTGTCTGTCTCTCTCCTGTTAGTATTCAGCTCCTTGGACATGTCTCGCTCCGTGTCGGTCACTGCTGCTGGCCAGTGCCGCTTGGCCCCACTGATACAGGTGATACTGGACTGCAGCCATCTGTATGACTACACTGTTAAACTCCTCTTCAAGTTGCACTCCTGTAAGTACACAGCAAGCCTCTGGGAGTGTCCGGCAGCTGCCATTTCGCTGCTGGGATGTCCTGAGAAGCTTTGATGTAGCAGATTTAAAGTTTCTGTAGCAGCTGTTTCAGAGGCGGAGCCCTGTACCAAGGCTGTGCGTGTGTCAGGTGTGCCAAGCACAGGGAAATGCCCTGTCTGTGTGTTTAGACCTCTGTTCCCAGAGCGCAGGGTGTCCAGGCAAAGAGCTGGTTTAAAACACTGGCGGGGGCTGGCTCGGTAGCTTGGCCCAGTGGCTCGCTCTGTGTCACGCGCAGAGACCAGGCCAGGTTTGACTCCTGCCTATAGCCTCAGACTTGTAGCGTTTGGAAGTGCGGCTGGCTGGAGGCCGGTGGCTCCCCCTAGCTGATGAGGAAGCTGTGTTGACAGGTGTCGATCGAACGGCAGCCCTGCCTGATCTGTGATCAGTGCAGAGAGAACCCCACCCCGGGGAGAGAGATGTGGCACAGTTCCTGCTGAGGTGCCTGTGTGGATTGATGCTGAACCGCCTGGCCTGGGCCAATGGAGCATTAGGCTCGTGGCTGGGCCCTGCATTTGCTGAAGCACCTGCTGCACCAGCTGTGCCCCCCTGCCCCTGACTCCAGCTGTGCCCTTCCCTGGGGAGGGGAGGGGGGACACTTGACTGGCAGCCCCCTCCCGGGAAAAGGGAACAAGGCATCCCCTTTCTACCCTTCAGGGCAGGGCATAGGAGACCCCAAGGGCCAGGGGGAGGCTAGTCCAAACACCAGCATGCTTCCCCCTCTGTTCCCAAAACTGGATTCTGGGCTTGCCACTGAGGCCCCCCCCCCCCCCCACAGATGCTGGTAGTTGGAGGGTGGGATTGAACAGAGAAGTGGTGAGATTTGGGGTGGGGAGAGTGAGGCAGAGAAACAAGCTATGGGGGAGAGGGAAAGGGGAGGCAGGGACAGAGATCACGGGATGTGTGCGATGGGGGGGAGAGGGCGCAGCCAAGAGGAGCGAGAGAAGGGGAAAGAGGAGACAGAGGAAGGGAAGCAAGGAGGCCGGGTCACTGAGGTTGACCAGGTGCAGGTGGAAGCCCGAGCAGCTGCGTCACAGTGAAAGGCATGGGGGGAATCCCTCTGCATGCCAGCCAGAGGGGACTTGTGTTCGTGGCTCATAAAGCTACCCCCAAGGAGCACATTTCCCTTTTAGAATGCCCCAGCCCTCCCTCACACGCTCCCCGCAAGGGCGCTGGCCTCCCTCCCTGCCCATGCCAAGGTACTCAGCAGCTGTGTCTGGGCCAGGACCCTGTGCCCTCACCAGTACAGCCCTGAAGGGATCGTAGCCACAAGGGGGTTTCTGCATCTGGAAGAGTAAAAGCAGAGAGCAGGGGGAAATGTTCACCCCCCAACCTGAGCTCCCCCAGAATGAGAGCATCCTCCAGGCCGCAGCTCCCAGGACTCACTGCGCGGTTGCATTTCTTCCGGAGCGAATCCCGGGGCACAGATCCAAGCCGTGCACCGATCTGCAGAGATTGCATCAGGCATTTGGACTTCGGCAAGGTTGGCTTAATAGCTTCAAATTGTTTCCTGTGGTATGAGAAAGCGGCACCTCGGTGATCCTGGATTTAGACAGCTGCTGCCAGCTCCCTGGCTGAGTGCAGATGAAGGCCCTTTCCTCTCCATGAGCGAGACCCCAAGGACCCGCCCCAGCCAGGGTTCCTCTGCTAGTCGCTCCTCTAGCCATCTCAGAGCCAGTGCTCCTGCCCTGCAGCGCCACCTGCTGGGAGCATCTGAGCAGTGCTCGAATGATGGGGGGAAGGCGGGGGTGCCCTTCGGGAACGTGGACAGACCTGGAGGTGCCAGGGTGTACCTTGGGCGGCTTCCTGTGCCGGCATCCTCTGCACTGAGCCCAGCTACAGCAGGACTCTCTTCTCCTCTCTGCCCATACCGCCTCCTCACCTTCTGCCCCGCTTCCTCCCCTCCCCCTGGCTGCCATTTCCCCCTGCACGTTACCCCTGCCTTCCGCCCCCTTCTCCTCTCCCCCTGACTGACCCCTTCCCCTGCCCGTTTGCCCCCCCACCTTCTGCTCACTCCTCCTCTACCCCTGATTGCCCCCCCGCCTGCCCATTTATTCCCCCACACCTTCTGCCCCCTCCTCCCCTACCACTGACTACCCCCTGCCCATTGTCCCCCCCGCCTTCTGCTCACTCTTCCTCTACCCCCTCACCTGCCCATTACCCCCCCGCCTTCTGCCCCACTTCCTCCTCTACCCCTGACTGTCCCCTCCCCCTGCCCATTACCCCGCACCTTGTGGCCCCCCCTTTTCCTTACCCCTCTCGCTTCCTGTTGGGATGAAAGGGGCTTCTCCAGATTGGGGCATTGGAGCCTGGGTTATGCCAGTGAAGAGCCAAGCCCAGGCAGTGGGACCTGCTGTGGTTGCAGGACACCCACCCTCCCCTCTCTCCACGGACCAACCCCTCATCGTGCCCTGGCTCCCTCCACAGGACAACCGTGGCTGCTGTCACTGCTCTCTGCAGTGCCTGGCCCTGTGGCTGACCACACAGGGAGAAGTAAGGGGCCAAAACAAACCCTCTACATCCCTTCCCATAAGTCAGAAGTGGGGTAACCCCTAAAAGTAGTAGGGGACCCGCCCCCGGCCCTGAGTCTGAGGCTGCAGTGGTAAACTGTTCTAGGACTGGCTATTCTCCAGTGCAGCCCTGTCCCTCTGTGTGGTGCTACTCAGCAATCTGGAAATGAGCATGATTCCTTGCGCGTGCTCAAGGAGACCTGGGAGCTGAGAGCTTTCCTTTGCATTCCATCCTGTGTCTCTTCCTCAGGCCTCCCCGCTGACACGCTACAGGGCCACAGGGACCGTTTCCTGGAGCAGTTCAGAAAGTAAGTGCCCTGAATGCCAAGCCTGTCACCTTTGGCACTTATCCTTTGCATGCTGACTTTAGCTCAAAGCGGCTATTCCTGAGTTCATTTCTGGTTAGGTAACTCATGCCACTCAGACCTAGTCTACAGGCAGGCTTGGGGCTGACAAGAGCCCCCTGGGTTTGAAATGAACCGTCTGTGGCTGAGAAACGAACAAAGTCCTAATTTCTGAGTCCCCTAGCTCACAAATGTTTATCCTAGAGCTGGGCTGGCCTCTTTTCTGCCCCCATGCTGTTGGCATAACCCATTGGCACTGAACAATAATTGCCTTATTAAATCCAAGGAGGCCTTTGGGCTCTAATGGCATTGTATGGGAGGTGTCAGCCAGTGATTTAAAACCATTGAGCTGCGGTTTGGCTGCCGTGTGCAGTCATCACAGTGCGGTGAAAATGTGAAGGTGCAGCCCATCTCCTCTGGGCTTTCCTGGAGTCTCAGAGCCATTTCCTGTAAAGGCCCTTTCGGGGCTAAGATAATCAGGGTTTAACAAGGGTTAACAAGCTTGGCCGCTGGGGCTGACCTCAGCCTGATGGTGCATGCATGCTGCAGCAATGAACAGATTAGAAATGTGTTGCTGGGTCCATCAATCCTTCTGCCCTTGGAAATGTACCGAGCGTTTTCTGTTCATTCCCCCTTCACCTTCCCCAGCCTGGAGGGAGGGGTAGGCTGTGATATCCTGAACGTTCCCTGTGGGGGACCTTATTCACAGGGGTAGGAAACCAATGAGGGAAGCAGGAAACTCAGGGGAGATAAGATCTGGTGGCTGGCTCTTCAAGGATTTAGCTGGTAAATTCTTTCCCCTTCATTCTTAGTCTCAGCCGCTCTTTGCATCAGTGATGGCCCCTCCCTCCCTAGGTGTATGGGGGAGGGGCCCCACCCTCCTGGATTCACCGTTTACCAGTGTGTTCGCCACTTGGCTTGAGGCACATGTCCGGGTACTGTTCCAAGGAGCAGAGCCATTAGCTCTCTTCCCAGGATCCCCACCTTGAGTTGTATGGCAAGATAGCGTCCATGTAACTGAGGTCAAGAGCTGCCTTTCCCTCTCTGCATGGGATGCCTGGTGTGGAGCCACAAGTGATGGGCTCTGTTAAATGAAGGGAGCCACCTGCATCCTGCGACTGCCTGGATCTGCCTCAGCCATCAGAGTCCCCTCCCTTACGTCCCATTTCCTTCCAGGTTGAAAGATTTGTTCTGTCGCTCCAGCAACCTGCAGTACTTCAAACGGCTGATTCAGATCCCACAGCTCCCAGAGGTGAGACCCAAACGGCTTCGCTCTTGCCCTTGGGCACAGGCTAAGAGGGAGGGGCTGCAGTGACCATTGGCGTGACTAGGCAGTGGTGTCTAGTGGTTAGAACAGGGCCCTGGGAGTCAAGACTCCTGGGTTTTATTCACAGCTCTGGGCAAGTCAGTTAAACCCCAGCGTTGAATGCTGGGTGCCTGCAGCCAAGTCTTGGAAGCCATATTTGCACTTACAGGGGGGTTGCTTTTCAGAGATCCCTACTAGAGCTGGGTGAAATTTTGTTGGTAAAGAATAAATTCATTGAAAAATGTACTGGGAGGCACCAACACTATTCACTAACTCGGCCATCCTTTGTGCTAGAGAAGGGAGACGAAGCGCTGCCTCGTAGCATCGTAACGACCCCACTTGGGCTGCCTGGGGTGGTGCGGCAGGCAGATTTGGGCGCCTTGCGTCCCACAGAGCCGCTTTTCTCAAGATCCCGCCATCAGTTCTCCCTTTCCGCACTAGAATCCTCCCAACTTTCTGCGGGCCTCGGCTCTGTCAGAGCACATCAGTCCCGTGGTGGTCATCCCGGCTGAGGCCTCGTCCCCAGACAGCGAGCCCATCACCGATCTAGTGGAGATGGACACAGCATCACAACAGGTGAGCGCCTGGCCCCCTGGCATCAGTCTCTCTCTTTGAGCCCGCGATTGGCTCTGCCTATGTCTGGCAAGGTGTTCAGCTGCCAAGAGAAGTATGCCTGGCCTTTGCATGCCCTGCAGTGGCTCTGGGGCTGTATTGCCAGGGCTGTGATCTCAGGTCTCATAACATACTCAAGGCCTGGTGCGTGGTTGGCTGTATGACATATGGAAAAGCCAGGGCTCTACAGGAAGCAGCATCACTGCTGCTTATTCCCATGGGCCTAGTACCGAGTTAGCGCCCTCGGGGGTGTTGTGCTGTCTGGCTAATAAGACATAAAACCAAGAGTCGGTGAAGAAATCTTAGGGGGTAATTCTGGTGTCCTGGCTAGTTGATGACTGGTTGTTTGCATTTGGCTTCCCCTGCATTTCCCCTCAAGTTCTAGATCCACATGACATGCTTCATTTCCTGTGCTAATACACCAGCCCAGAGGTGGCTCCACTTCAGTGGCAGGCGAAGTGGTTCCTACATCTCCAGTTAACATAATGGTTTTTGGGGGTGTGGGTGGTATATACATACCCGTAAGGTTGTTTATTTAGGCAGTACCATTTGGAGCAGACAATAGATTCCCCTAGTTGCAGCTCTTGGGTTTGAGTCTCTGCATCTTGGGGAGTCTCCTGCACCAGCGTGGAGCACGGCCATTCTGAAGTGGTAGCATTTTAAACTCACTTTGCACTAGGATAAATGACTGCCTGGCTACAGGGCAGCAAATTTGGCCCATTGCCTCTTGTAGTGGTTAATGGTGATATTTCACATGAAGAGACCAGGGGATTTCTGTCATGCCAGTAACTCCTTTGGCAGCTAGTGGTCAACTGCTGGTAAATGCAGCTAACTCTCACCACTACAAGTACCTCATAAGTAGCTGCTCCGCTTGCTGTTCCAGACAGGGTTGGCCTTCTGTCCGCCGCAGTTGTCTGTCTGTCCCAGTCAGACCCCATCTGGATCAGATTAGTTGCAGTACCCTGTTGTTTAATAAAGCAAGTAGAACTGCCCTAAGCTGGGTCAGGCTGCATAGAAGATAGGGGCCCATGGCTAATGGGAGCTGTCTGTCTGCAAGGGGAAGGGATAGCTGTCCCTTAGAGGGCGTGGGGCAGCTGCCAATCTTGCTAACGAGTGGGGTCCTGGTGTCTGGGGGAGGAGTCTGCCCTTGTGAGGGGGTGGGGCTGAGACGGGGGCGGGCAGGTGCCCAGTCCATGTGCAGTGTTTCTGGCCATGTACGGGGCGGTGGTAGATTTGACTCCAGGGATCTGTGTTTGTTTCCCCCTCCAGAGCTTGTTCGACAATAAGTTTGATGACATCTTTGGCAGTTCGTTCAGTAACGATCCTTTCAATTTCAACAGTCAGAATGGAATGAACAAGGATGACAAGTGAGTGCTGGCTCAGGGGCCCCATCGCTGCTGGTGGGGCGTGTTCAGTGTCAGGGGAAGGAGCTGTGAATGCGGAGGCAAGGCTCGGTCCAGTTTTGTGGGGAAGGCCTGGGCCTCCCTTGCAAGAGGCATCCTGGGGTTGACGGGTGAGGGCTCTCCTGCCCTGGGGGTTCATCTGTGAAGGGTGCTGAGCAACGGGCTGAGCTCTCTGAGTCTGGGCTGGCTCTGCGATAGGATCTTGATGCCTGGCCGTAGGCTGGAACCTGAGCGAGTGGGCTAGGAGCTGAAACACATAATCAGCAGCTGGCAATGTCCCCCGCACTTAGCACAGCGGAGCCTTGTGCAGCTCCTTGTGGTGTTATAGACAAGGAAAGTCTCCTCCAGCCCCAGACACTTGCCCTTGCAAGCTGGCAGTCAGCAGCGGCTGGACCTCGGTGGGTCATTTAGGAACATGGCTTGCCAGACAAGATCGGCCCAGGGCTCCATCCAGCCCAGTATCCTGTCTCTGACAATGCACAGCTCCAGCTGCTGCAAAGGATAAAACCCTGAAAGAGGCAGTGATTGGATAAGCTCCCCCAGGGGAGGTTCTCTCCTAACCCCAGTAGTTAGATCTGCTCACACCATGAAGCAGCTGGGCTTAGATCCTTTCCAGCTATTACAGCTCTTCTCTGTATTAATGTAGCAGTCCAACCCTTTTTTGCAACCTGTTTAGCTCTTGCCTTCAGTTCCATCTTATAGCAATGACTTCCACAGGCTAACAATGCATTGGAGGACACTATACTTCCTTTGAACGGTTTTAAATTGGCCACCTTTCAGTTCCATTGAATGCTCTCATGCTCTTGTGTTATGAGACTCAGGGAATAAAAGATCCCAACCTCCCTCCTCTGGACCAGTGGTTTTCAACCTGTGGTCCGCGGACCCCTGGGGGTCCACAGACTGTGCCTAAGATTTCCAAAGGGGTCCACACCTCCATTTGAAATTGGTTAGGAGTCCGCTGAAAACCACAGTTCTAGACCATTCGTTAGTTCGTATACCCCCATCCTATCCTCTCCAAAAGTAAGTATCCTCACACCTTCTTGTCAACTGTCTGAATGGGCCATCTTGGTTATCACTACAAAAGTTTTTTTCTTCTGCTGATAATAGCTCATCTTAACTAATTAGCCTCTTACAGTTTGTATGGAAACTTGCAACTTCTCTGTATGTATTGTGACAGGGTCAGGCCAGATGGCCACAGGAGAGTCATAGAAGGCAGATATATTAGCCCCAAGTTAAGTAGGTCCCTTTTCCCTGGGTAAGGTAACGGGGAAGGTTCCAGAACAATCAGGAACTTTCTGGAAACATTTAAGGCAGACAGGCTGATTAGAACACCTGCAGCCAATCAAGAAGCTACCAGAATCAATTAAGACAGGTAGGCTAATCAGGGCACCTGGGTTTAAAAAGGAGCTCACTTCAGTTTGTGGCGTGCTTGCGAGGAGCTGGGAGCAAGAGGTGCAAGAAGCTGAGAGTGAGAAGGCGTACCGCTGGAAGCTGAGAAGTACAAGGATTATCAGACATCAGGAGGAAGGTCCTGTGGTGAGAGTAAAGAAGGTGTTGGAGGAGGCCATGGGGAAATAGCCCAGGGAGATGTAGCTGTCACGCAGCTGTTACAGGAATCACTATAGACAGCTGCAATCCACAGGGCCCTGGGCTGGAACCCGGAGTGGAGGGCGGGCCCTGGTTCCCCCCATGCCTCCATTCCCCCAACTCCCTACTTGATACCGGAAGAGTTGACCTGGACTGTGGGTTCCACCAGAGGGGAAGGTCTCTGGCTTGTTCCCCAAACCACTAGATGGATCAGCAGAGACTGCAGGGATTGTTGTTCTTCCTTTTCCCCATGCTGGCCAGTGATGAGGCTAACTGAGTGAACGGCAGATTTGAGCCACAAACGTGGCCAAACTGAGGGCTGCTGTGAACCTCTGAGGCAAGCAAATCTGCCAATAAGCACAGGACCCACCAAGGCAGAGGAGGAACTTTGTCACTGTGTGTGTGTATACACTTCTTACTATATGTTCCATTCTGTGCATCCGATGAAGTGGGCTGTAGCCCACGAAAGCTTATGCTCTAATAAATTTGTTAGTCTCTAAGGTGCCACAAGTCCTCCTGTTCTTTTTGCGGATACAGACTAACACGGCTGCTACTCTGAAACCTATCTCTTTCTAAGGCAAACAGTTCTGTTCTTTCTCTCTCTCTCTTGATAAGAGAGCGTTCCAGGCTCCTGACCATTGCTCGTCCCTGAACCCTATCTTCTTCTGCAGTATTCTTTGAGACAGGGTAACCAGTGCTGCACGCAGGATCCCAGGGGAGGGCACCCCTGGGTTCATGTATTGGCCTCATAATATTTTTTGTGTAATTCCCATCTGATCCCCAAACCTCCTCTGCGTGGGGCCGCAGGGTCACGGGTTAAGGGGCACAGCATGGAGGAAGCAACTGGTGTCATTCTCTTTGCCAGGGACCGGTTGATCGAGCAGCTGTACCGTGAGATCAGTGCACTGAAGGAGGAGCTGGAGAACTTCAAGGCGGAGGTGACTGTATAGCCCATATTATTGACGTTAACCCAGTGTGCAGGCTGTGCTCTCTGTGGCCAGCGATGTGCAGATCTTGGACCTCACTGGTGCGATCACTGTGTCTCGGGGCCGGGTCAGACCTGGTAGCCCGAACATCGGATGGGAAACACGCAGGGCGTGGTGCAGCTCCTCCCACTGAGTCACACTGAACCAGGGGCCCAGCATGGCTCCAGAGATGCCACCTTTCCAAGACCCTGGGGCTGTTACTCTCCCAGTTGCAGAGACCATTCCTGTGCCCAGGGCCTGCACCAGAGGCCGTATTTCTGCTCTGCCACCTTAGGGAGGAGTCGGGTTTCCTCACTGTCCCAGGGACACCCATGCTGTCAAGTGACAGCTGCTTAGACAACTGCCGGTCAGGCACTGGCTTATGCCGAGTGCTGTTGTTTTATAACTCCCCACAGGATCCTTGCGTGCTGAGTGGCTGGTGCTTTTGTTAATGGGTTTGTTAGGAATTATGGGCCTTGGGCACTTCGATTGGCTGGCCCAGATCTAATTAGCAACAGCAGTGTAAGAGCTGGGCTTCAGATTGCCCCTTCGAAGGGCAGCTGGCATCGAGGCAGCTGGGGCTAGAAGGGTGTTTGACCCACCCCAGCCCACCTCTCCCACTTGGTGACCTGCAGAGCCATCGTCTCGGTGTGCAGCTGAGGGGGCAGGTCAGCGAGCTGGAGGCAGAGCTGGCAGAGCAGCAGCACCTCAAACAGCAGGCCCTGGATGACAGCGATTTCCTGCGCACCGAGCTGGAGGAGCTGAAGAAGCAGTGGGAGGACACAGAGAAAGCACAGAGGAGCCTGACGGAGATAGAGAGTGAGGAGAGACCTCTGATCTGCTTGGGGGCTGCCCCCTGAGTCCCCAGCCCAGCCTCTTCTGCAAGAGTGGGGGGAGCTAGCAGCTTCTCTAGCCCCAGCTTCTATCAACAGGGAGCAGGGCAGGCTGGCTGTGGGGGGAGATCCTGACCACTCCAATCCCAGGCTTCCTCAGCAGGGGGCGCTGCAGGAAGCGGGGTAGGCTGGGTTGGTGGGCAGAGTTCCAGGCCACTCCTGTCCCGGGCTTTCTCAGCAGGGAGTGCTGTTGGGACCCATGTTCAAGCCGGAATGGCTGTAGGAATGGGATCGCTCGTTTGCCCCAGTGAGATGGGATTTTCCTTTGGAGATGTCCTTGGCACGTGTGTTTCCAGGTCGCTCACCCCGTGGGTGTCTGTGTTGCAGGGAAGGCGCAGGCTAACGAGCAACGGTACACCAAGCTAAAGGAGAAGTACAGTGAGCTGGTGCAGAACCATGCTGACCTGTTGCGCAAGGTACGGCCCAGTACCCCTCTCCTTCATTCCACCCCTGCCAAGCCTCCTGCTGGCTTTGTGTCGGTTTCATGCCCAGGAGTAGCAGGGATCTGCCACTGTAGACCCATGGGTCATCGTGCCCTGTGGGGAGCCAGCTTTGTTATTCCGGAAGCTAGTGGGCGAAGATCCCCTGTGGGGAATCCTCTCCCCCTACACCACACCAGGGAACAGGATTTTGCTCTGAGAGCAGGATGGGGCAGAGGTGAGGCATCGGCCCTGTCCAGTGACTGGGTGGGTGACGAGCAGGGGCTGACGCAGCTGATGAGTTCTTGCTGATGTTCCCCAGAACGCAGAGGTTACCAAGCAGGTAACGGTAGCGAGACAGGCCCAAGGTGATGTGGAGCGGGAGAAGAAAGAGTTAGAGGACTCCTTCCAGCGCATGAGCGAGCAGGCCCAGAGGAAGGTGAGTCGGAGTGTGCAGAACGGAGCAGGGAAGGCCCAGAGCGTGGGAGTGTCAGCTGGGGGTGCTGGGTGGGTAGAGCCCAGCGTGAGGGAGTCTGTGCAGTAGAGATAGGTCTACAGTCTTGTGCCCGCGGGACGGTACAAGCGAGGAGTGAGAGGGGAGAAGGCTGCAGATTGGTGATGTGATCAGATCCTGAGCTCGCAGCTAAGGTCTCCAGTGGGTAACGAACAGCCCAGGGGCAGGGAGTGCCACCCTGTGATGTGCACACTCAAGGGTTACTTCTGCTCTGTCTGCAGACTCAGGAACAGGCAGAGGTCTTGGAAACCTTGAAGAGAGAGCTCACAGCCAGCAAGCAGGAGCAGCAGGCCCTCCAAAGCACTCTGAAATCCAGTTTGCAGGTGAGTGCATCAGTGATTTCCCTACACCCCCCCCCGAATTTCCCCAACACCCCCCTCCCCAGTTTTGTGAACTAGTTACATGCCAATTTAGTGACTGTTCGGAAATTTGAATTTAAAATTGAAACATTAATACACACTTTAAAAGCATATACAGTGTATGATAAAATATGTGTATCTGAAAAAGTATCATAGATTTGAAAAGTATGAACATAGACTAGCTTCCTTATACAGCTGTTGTTTTTATGACAATGTCAGGGCGTTCATTTCAGTGGTGTTGGCCAACCTAATAATTTCAAATGATTTGTAAGCAAAGTCTAAATGAGCTCTCCCTGATGAGCTAGTGATTAGCTGGGGCTGCAGGGGAAGGCTTCAGGACCAGATTGTATTTACATTCACACCTAATCTTCCTAGGTATCCAGCAAACAGAGCTGTGTTTCCCAAGTGATAGATTTTGGCTGGGGTTGGGTTACAAATCACTTGGATGGGGAGGGAAATGAAATGTTGTTCTAACTGTATGAGTAAAGGTCAGTAGAACTGTACTTCGCCTGTGCTGATTGAGGCCATCAAGAGAGAGGGTGGGGACCTGTCCCTCTCCACTGTTTAAAGACAGAGCTCATTAGGCTCCATAGATAGTCTTTTGTTCTGTTAAGTGACCATTGCAGCTGAAATCACTGATGATCAGGTCTAAGTGACAGGTTTCAGAGTAACAGCCGTGTTAGTCTGTATTCGCAAAAAGAAAAGGAGGACTTGTGGCACCTTAGAGACTAACCAATTTATTTGAGCATAAGCTTTCGTGAGCTACAGCTCACTTCATCGGATGCAAGTGCTTAGTCCTGCTGTGGGGACAGTGCTTCTGTGGAAGACACAGCCCAGACTGCACTAGCTGCAAGCTCAGCTGAAATCACTGAGAGCTGGGTGGAACCTCAAGAGACCAACTCACAGTGGCAGGTGGCAGCAGAAGGTGACTGCGTAGAGCCATTGGTAACAGAATGGTGGAGTGAACGGTGGCACAACGAACAGCAGTGGCCAGAGTGAACAGTGAGCAGCTGGAGGAACGAGCAGGGTGCCTCCTTGCCCCCCACCTGGGAGGTGTACTCACGTGAAAGCACCTCTGAATTCTGATTCTCCACTGACCAAGGACAACATGGGTGAGTGGGGTGCGGTGGAGAGAAAAGTGAGGGGCACGTTAAATAAACATTTGTTTGTTGGACTATATTTTAGTGACTTTGCTCCAGAATGCTAGATTTGTGACTGGGAATGGAAACTTATATAAATATGTTTCCTAGTAGGCCAAGATTTTTAAAATGCATTATTTGCCAAGGTTGTTTCTCACATCATTGCTATCTGAGAGGTCATTATGTTGTGGAGTTTCTGTACTAAACATTTTTTTTATTATTAATTTTTACATAAGAATGGTCCTACTGGGTCAGACCAATGGTCCATCTAGCCCAGTATCCTGTCTTCCAACAGTGATCAAGGCCAGGTGCTTCAGAGAGAATGAACAGAACAGGTCATCAAGTGATCCATCCCCTGTTACCCATTCCCAGCTTCTGGCAAACAGGCTAGGGACACTCAGAGCATGATATTGCATCCCTCCCCATCCTGGCTAATAGCCACTGATGGACCTAGCCTCCAGGAATTTATCTAGTTCTTTTTTTAACCCTGTTATAGTTTTGGTCTTCACAGCATCCGCTGGCAAAGCGTTCCACAGTTTGACTTTATGTTGTGTGAAGAAATACTTCCTTTAGTTTTTTTTAAAATCTGCTGCCAATTAATTTCATTGGGTGACTGCTAGTTCTTGTGTTATGTGAAGGATTAAATAACATTTCCTTATTCACTTTCTTCACACCAGTCAAGATTTTATAGACCTCTATCATATCCCCCCTTAGTCATCTCTTTTCTAAGCTGAAAATTCCCAGTCATTTTAATCTCTCCTCCTGTTTCTGCCCCTAATCATTTTAGTTGCCCGTCTCTGTACCTTTTCCAATTCCAATATATCTTTTTTTGGGATGGGGTGACCAGATCTGCACACAGTATTCAAGATGTGCACGTACCATGGATTTATATAGAGGCAGTATGATATTTTCTCTTATTATCTATCCCTTTCTTAATGCTTCTGAACATTCTGTTGGCTTTTTTGACGGCCGCTGCACACTGAGTGGATGTTTTCAGAGAACTATCCACAATGACTCCAAGATCTCTTTCTTGAGTGGTAACAGCTAATTCAGACTCCATCATTTTGTATGTATAGTTGAGATTGTTTTCCAATGTGCGTTACTTTGCATTTATCAACACTGAATTTCATCTGCCATTTTGTTGCCCAGTCACCCAGTTTTGTGAGATCCCTTTGTAGCTCTTCGCAGCTTGCCTGGGACTTAACTATCTTGAATAGTTTTGTATCATCTGCAAATTTTGCCAGCTCACTGTTTACCCATTTTCCAGATCATTTATGAATATGTTGAACAGTAATGGTCCCAGTACCGACCCCTCAGGGACACCACTATTTATCTCTCTCCATTCTGAAAACTGATCATTTAATCCTACCCTTTGTTTCCCATCTTTTAGCCAGTTACTGATCCATGAGAGGACTTCCCTTTTATCCCACAATGGCTTACTTTTCAAAAGTCAATTTCAATTAAATACATTTTTTTTTAATTTATATTTTTTTAGAAATGTAGACCTGTTATATGTTTTGGTGTAACTTGCATTATTCTCATGTTAAATTTGCATTATCCTAACAAAACATTTACTTTATTCATATCTCTTTTATATGTTGCAGGTCAAAGTGAAAATGAAAAGACAAAAAAACAATACAGCAATTTTTTCACTCAAAGGCCTCAAAAACTAACCAAGGTAAAGAACACATCAAGAACCAAGAATACATCAACATGTCATCTGAAGGTTCAAGTGGTATATCTACATCCGACCAGCCCGAAGCACAAATACAGCTACCTATTGAAGAAACAGCGTCTCCAAAACCTAAAGGCAGTTCCCAATGTTTGTCGGTCAAAGTGTTCCCATTTATTGAAGTTACAAAAGATGGCTACTGGTGCACCTCTTGCAAAAAGTTTACGAAGAAGGAAAGCTTCCCAATGGCATTTTGGGGTGTATATGTAGGAGCATTGCCAGCAGATGGAGGGACGTGATCGTTCCCCTCTATTCGACATTGGTGAGGTCTCATCTGGAATACTGTGTCCAGTTTTGGGCCCCACACGACAAGAAGGATGTGGAAAAATTGGAAAGAGTCCGGCGGAGGGCAACAAAAATTATTAGGGGACTGGAACACGTGACTTATGAGGAGAGGCTGAGGGAACTGGGATTGTTTAGTCTGCGAAAGAGAAAAATGAGGGGGGATTTGATAGCTGCTTTCAACCACCTGAAAGGGGGTTCCAAAGAGGATGGATCTAGACTGTTCTCAGTGGTAGCTGATGACAGAACAAGGAGCAGTGGTCTCAAGCTGCAGTGGGGGAGGTCTAGGTTGGGTACTAGGAAACACTATTTCATCTGGAGGGTGGTGAAGCACTGGAATTGGTTACCTAGGGAGGTAGTGGAATTTCCTTCCTTAGAGGTTTTTAAGGCCCGGCTTGACAAAGCCCTGGCTGGGATGATTTAGTTGGGGATTGGTCCTGCTTTGAGCCTGGGGGTTGGATGAGATGACCTCCTGACATCCCTTCCAACCCTGATATTCTATGATTCTATGATAATTGGTAAAAGTGGAGGAGCTTGGTTTGTCAAACTGATCAGCAAAGCCAATGCTGACAAACTACGTGAAAAGACTGCAAATCACCAGGACTCTGGACTGCATCAACCTGCAGAAAGCCTCATAAGCCAGTCACTCTCAAAGCCAATCTTAGAAGTACTTAATGAGGCTGTTAAGAATGCTGGAGAGACAACACAGTTCATGCGAACAAACGTGGCCGTGGCCTCCTACCTTCTATTTAGGCAAGAGACACTGCACACCGCAGACTGGAGGCCAGTGTTAAGTGCACTGTGACTTGTTCATCCGGAAGCTGAACTCTGGTTCCGAACAAGACCAGCAAATGCTCACTGTCTTGCTGCAAGAAACTCAACTGACTGGCTAGACGCACGTGGTGCAACAGTGAAAGACTCAACAGCTGAAAAAGTGAAAGACTCTCTCACCACATTCAAAAAATTTGCATACGTGGCTGATGAATGCACCGATGCAAATGGGCATCAAGTATTAAGTCACTGTGTACGTTATTTTGATGTCAGGGGTAGGCCAGTAGATGCATTTCTAGATGTTCAAGTTATAGAAGACACATTGGCTGCATCTGTGACAACCCACATCTTAGAAGAGTTAAATGCTTGTCAGTTGGACCCCAAACAGATGGCTGCTTGTGCATTTGATGGAGGTGCAAACTTCTCTGGAAGACATGGTGGAGTACAAGCTTTTCTCAGAGAAAAGTGTAACCCCAATCTCTCCTATACACACTGCAGAGGCCATCTACTCCAACCAGCGCTAGTACGAGCTGCAGAATCTTCAAAAAACATTTAAAAAAGCTATAAATTTAATGTCTTCATTATATTCTTTTTTCAGCAAGAGTCCAAAAAGATTGAATATCTTGGAAAATATAGAAGATACACTGGACTGAAGTTCAAATTAGTCCAACCTGGGAAAACCCGCTGGATTTCTCATGAGCGATCCTTGGCTGTTGTCTTAAAATTACTCTAGCCATTATTACTGGCTTTGGAAAGTATCTACCAAGATGGGATGGATCTAAGTAGTGAGGCTGGTGGATTACTTTTGCTACTATGTTCAGAGAATAGTATTGCCATTCTCTCTCTTGTAAATCTACTGTTGAAACCACTTTGGTCATTAAACAATGCCATCCAGGCATCTGCTACAACAGTAGTAGATCTTTGTCCAGCAATAGAAGCTACATTTGGATCAATCAGAGAGCTATGATTTAATTGGGGATCAGTCCTGCTTTGAGCAGGGGGTTGGACTAGAAGACCTCCTGAGGTCCTTTCCAACCCTGATATTCTATGATTCTATCTATTGAAAAAGTACTGGAAGAAGCAAAGACTTCAGTCCAGAAATTGACTAATGAAGGCATTTATATTGAATCCTTAAGTGAAGAAGACAGAAGTGTTTAAGACAACTGAAAAAATACAGACTTGATTCTTAAAAATCTACACCAGCGACTTCTAGGTTCTGCTCAACCTCTGCATAGCTTTTACAGATCCCTGTCCTATAAAACACCGACAGTTGAGTGGAGTGAGGCACTACCAGCAATGGGGCTGCCGTGTGCTCAGGACAGAATAGAGAATTTGAACACAGAGTGGAATATCATATGACGAATGAATGAATATTTGACTTCAACTTCTTTTTTATCATCACTAGTGGCTCGACCTGATCTTTGTGCTCTGTTTCCTGGGATGAAAGAAGTAGGAATTCATCTCTTGCTACTCCCAGTCACAACAGCTACAGCTGAGCGTTCTTTTTCATCATTGAATAGAATTTTGTGTTCTGAAAGAAGTCGCCTTCTGCCTGATTATGTGAATGAACTAATGAGCATATCAATTGAAGGAGTGGAAGTACCGGACACACGAGAAGCCACCAAAGATGAACGCATGGCATTCCAGAAGTTCATTAACAGAGTTGTGCAAAAGTATAACAAGAAACCAAGAAGGATGGCGACGTAGTGCTTCACAGAAGGCTTGAGTAGCCAACTTTAATTTGTGTGATGATTTTAAAACATGAGTTAAATCTAATAAAATGGTCATGAAACGTTTTTCAGTTTTTACTATGGTGCCATACAGCCCACCTTCACCCTCACAGTCTCACCGCTCATCAGCCCTGACAACCCCCCTGTAAATTCGAACACCCCCCCCCCCATTTCAATTCTTGGGGAACCCACTGGAGCGCGTGCTTCCCCCAGTGAGATCTCCCTGGCTGGGAGCTTGCTGCTTGTGGAGCAGCAGTGGAAGTGGGTATCTTCTGGTAAGTCTGGGTGTGCTCAGCCTGCCAGCGGGACAGGCTGACGTCACATGGCAGGCGGCAGGAACTCGCTTTCCCAGCACACTGGGCTCTGAGGTGGTTTAATTTTGGAATATAGTAGGGGAGGAGGGATCCCAGAATGAGGGTGCTTGGTCCACCCTCATCGTTTCTCTTCCCCATTCCTCCCTCTGTTCCCTTTGCCCTGCAGTCGGAGGCAGAGCGTAGCACCAAGACAGCGGGCTTGGAGCAGGAGAGGGACACCTTGGTGGTGGCAGTGGCCCAGCACAGCCAGGAGGTGGCGTCGTTGCAGGCCGAGCTACAGCAGCTAAAGGACACTCTGGACAGCGAGAAGGAGAGCAGCAGCAGAACGCTGGAGACACTGCAGATCCAGCTGGGAGAGAAGGTACTGCTGTCTGCCGGTTTGGGGATGCCCAAGGTGGACAGCAACATGGCAACAGCCACACTCCATCCGCTGAGCACCCGGGCACCCCGACTTCCCCCAGTGCATTGGCCGGAGTCCAAGGGCAGCTCTTGTGTGAAATGCAGTAGCCCTAAGGCTGTGGAGCTGTGATGCGTGGAGGCTGCACGTCCCAGCATGCAGTGCTGTTGGACTCCTCCTGGCTTGGCTGCTCGGGTCAAGATGGAGCATTGCATGCTAGGAACTGATAGCCCCAAAACTCTTCTTCCTTAAATGGAAAGATTAGGGGAACACCCCATGGCTGTGGTGTTTTAGTCCCCTTCTGCCCCCTTTCCTCCTGCTGGAAGGAACTGGAGCCAGAGCAGCCAGGTACGGCCCTTACTCTTTCGATTACATGGCTCTGTCATGTCAGTGGGCTTGCCGTTCTTGACCAGAGCCTCCTGGGTGCCAGGGTGTCCTGGCTGCAGCTTGGGAAGGCCCTGAGCTCTCTCCTCTCTTTGTGTGTCCTTCAGGAGAGCCGTGAGCAGGCCCTTCAGCAGCGGCTCCTGGACGAGCAGTTTGCCTTGCTGCAGTGCACGGTGCAGGAGGCAGAGCAGATAGTGCAGGACTCCCTGAACCGACTCGATGACCCCACCCACATCAGCTGCACGAGCTCCGCAGGTATGGCCTAGCTGCCTTGCCGTAAGGGTTGGGCTGGCTCCCCCCTCTGTTCTGGGTGTATCCAGCTGCACTGACCTCTGGCTGCTCACACACAAGGGGCAAAAGCTCTTATTAATTCAGGATTGGGTGCCATTCGGGGGGGAACCGGCCCAGAATTCAGTCTCAGCGTTTGGCTAGCCACTTGCCTCCCCTAGGAGCTGCTGAGGATAAACCCTCAGGATTGCTCCCTGGCAGCTAAACTGGCCTAGAGCTAGTGCCACTGACTGCAGCTTCCGGGGTAATAACCCCACTCACCCTCACTCAGGCAGTGCTTGGCCAGTGCCAGGCATTTCAGGGGTGTCTCACCAAGTGTTCCATAGCTCTGGAGTTGCAGTAGAGTGTGTGTGCACATACAGACCCGTGTGCGTCCAGTAAACTGAGTCAGTTACGTTCGGGGTGTGTCCCAAGGAATCATTTGCTGTCCCTCCCTAAAATCTTCAGCACAGATGAGTGCAAAGGCTACTTCTAGGGTAATTCTGCACCCCTGCATATGCGCAGAATTCACGTCCCCCGCAGATTTCTTTGCTTCCCCGCAAAAAAAAATGACTTTCTGACAGGGAAGCAAAGGGAAGCTGCAGGAACAGTCACACCCCACTCCCTAGCTGTACAGGTACATCGTTTCAGACACCCGGAACAGCCAGTGGAGAGGTAAATCACCGCAGGGCTGGGGACACCCCAGCCAGTGGCTCCTACCTTGAGCCAGGATCAGCTGCTAGTCTCGGCTGGGCGGACGGGACTTCCTCTTCCCCTGCAAGGAATAGCTAGAGCTGTGTCAGACCCACCCCCAAAAACCTCTCCCAGCTCCAGGAAGTTCAGCAACTTCCTGTTTGCTGCCCTCATGTCTCCTCAGCTGCAGGGGGTGGTGTCACTGTATGGGGAGCTGCTCCCCCATCCATCCAACCCCCATGTATCCGGACTTCCCATACCCAGACACCCCCACCAAGCCTCACCCCTTACACCCAGAACCCCTGTAGCTCTCTCTACCCGAACCCCACCCCACGGAACCTCAACCCCTGCATCTGGAGCCCACCTGCACCCAGACCCCCTGCCTCCTGACCCCCAACTAGCTGCACCCAGACTCCTACCCCATGAAGCCCCACTCCCGCAACACCCAGACCCAGCTGCTGAGACTCTCATACATAGACCCCTCCACTGAGCCCCAGCCACCTTCACCTGGAAGCCCCTGCAGAGTCCCATTGCACCTGGAACCCCCCCACCCCCCAGTGAGCCTCTGTGCATCCAGATCCCCCCACACCTATACCCCCACTGAGCTGCCTGCACCCAGAATCTTCTCACCCCACACCTGGATCCCCCCACACTGAGCCCGTCCACACTTGGATCCTCCCTGGCTGAGCCTGCCTGCCCCACACTTGGTGCGCCTGGCGCAGGGAGACAGGACCCCAAGGTGTTTCTGGGTCAGGTGCAGGGCTTTGTGCTGTGTTAGGGTCGGGTGCAGCCTCACTGCTGAGTCCGTGTCCGGGGGATTGGGGAGCTACAGAGTGATCTTCCGCCTACATGCAGCCAGTGGCCTGTGCTCCCCACTGCCATGCTGGTGCCTCTGCATTTATTTATTGACAAATAAAACTTGCAGAATTTTAAAATATTGTGTGCAGAATTTTTAATTTTTTGGTGCAGAATTTTTATATTTTTTTTTTGTGTAGAATGCCCTCAGGAGTAAAAGGCATTTGCCTGGCAGGAGGGGGCTCCGGTCATAGTGTGGGGATTTGGCTGAGGGCAGAAATCGGGAAGCCAGGAGTAGGGACTGGGTTGGGAGCTCTCAGGAGCTCTTTGCTCATATTCTGCCCCAGCCTACAGGGAAGGTTGGGATGACCGTCCTTCCTGTGATGGAGTCGTCCCGTCCCCCCTCGACACACACACACACACTGGGGAGCCCTGCCAGAGGCGACATCTCCTCAGGGCTCCTAGTAACTCTTCTGGAGAGCAAACGTTTTGCCTTTGGAAAGGACCCCAATGCACTGAAGTCCAGTATTCCCAGAGGTGGCCAGACTCCCCGCAGGCCTTTCCCTTTGCCCTCGCTCCAGAGCGCCCGCACCAAGTGCTGTGCTCTGCTCCGGGGGTGGCAGGAGCAAGATGCAGCCAGCTGGCCCTGCCGTGCTGCCTCCATCTCCGCTGGTTTCGAGGGGGTTTCGTTGTGTAACTGGGGCAACGAGTGACTGGGTCCCAGAGCCCAGCCCCTCTGGACAGCACTCTGCATCGCTCAGTCGGGGGCTTAGAGTGGCTCAGGGGCAGGCTCTGCCGGGAGCCCCTTGGGCAGGTGTTGGCAGCAGGCGGATGGGCAGGGGGTGAGTCTGTGTGTAGCCCCGGAGGCTGCGCAGACTGCTGAGTACCTTCCGGGTCTCTCTTGTGCGTGCAGATTATCTCCTGAGCAGAACGTTGGCTGCCTCCGACTGCATAGAGCGGCTTCAGGGCGTGCATGGCAAATACCTTTCCAACCGCTCAGGTGAGAGAGCTGCCAGGGCCCTGAGCCCCCTCACTGCGGGCTCACCGTGCACCTTCCTCTGCACGCCATCGGCAAGGGCTACTCGGAGCTGAGGAGTGCTGGCAGAGCAAACTGTGGGGGCTTCCACAGGGATCCGGCGTCCCTCCGGAAGATCCCATCCTCTCTCCTTACGGATGTGCCAAGCCTCAGACCCCGCAGCCCACAGGCCAGCCGTGTGTGTGAGGGACACAGCGCCCCCTCTTGGAGCCCTGCGCTCAGCGTGTCACACCAAGCACTTGACCCTTCCCACAGCACCCAAGAAGCAAAGCAACAGCAGCCCTTGGCTCCCCTGGCCGCAGCCGGGCAAGAGCGAGCTCAGCTCCAGTGCAGAGTGTGAGAAACTGAGTCCAGAGGGGGCTGGGCTGTAGTTCCCAAAGCCATAGCCGTGCCAGGGTGCAGTGAGGCCGCAGGCACTGGGGCTGCACACGCCCTCTGTGCCTGTACTGACCTGATACTGAGGCCGGCGTGCGCATGCATGGCTGCTGCGGACATCGTCCTGGGAAGGGGATCTCTGAGCTGCGGTGAGCGAGGGCTCAGGGCTGGGTCTGCGCCTGGCTCTGGTGCCCTGAGGGAGTAAGGAACATACCTGCTAAGCTGTCTTTGAATCTGATCCTCTCAAACCTGCAAGTCTTGTTTGCCCAAGGGACTGAGAGGGCAGCGATGGGGCTGGCTCAACCGCTGAGGTGGCCAGTGACTTAGCAGGGGCCGTCTCCCCCTTCTGTCTCCCTTGCCTGCAGATGTAAGCAGCCTGCTGCCGTGCGTGGCCCTATTTGCCCACCTCATCAGTGACACCATCTTGCAGGGCAGCGCCACCTCCCACATGGTCCCTATGGAGCCTGCTGACTGTAAGTATCCCCGCCGGGGCAAGGGGGCTGGGGCTGTTCCCGCTGCACGCTCCTGCCTTCCTCAGCCAGCTCTTGCCTTTGTGGCCTGGTTTCAGTGCTGTCAGAGACATGTAAGCAGTGCGGGAGCGAGGCCCTGCGCTACCTTGGTGCCCTGAAAGACGAGGCCTCCCTGGGGGGCGCTGACTGCACCGCCGTGAGAAACTGCCTGAGCCAAATCAGCGCCATCGGAGAGGTGAGAGGGCTGGAACGAGCTGGAGTCAGACCCCTCTCTGGGCAGGGGGCCTGTTTCGTATTGAGCAGCTGCAGCCTAGGACAGGGCCATAGGAGACTGACTGCTCCAGAGTGGGCCACAGGCATGCAAGGGCCACAGGCATGGTTGGGAGGATCCCTCTGGGGCGGGGGCGAGGGTCTCTGAGAGAGGCAGACCCCGGAGGCTGTGGAACTCCTCAGGAGATACGGTCCAAAAGGGGAACTCCTGGGGTATGCATCTGCCCTGCTCTGTGCCCCGTTGGGATGGCTGCCCTGGCAGGCTGGGGGCTGTGTCAGTGTGTGTGGCCTGCTTTTTAGCCCTCCGCTGCCCCTTCCTGCTCGGGCCATTCACTCTCCCGAGTTCTTCTCCCAGGAGCTTCGGCCCAAAGGCCTGGACGTTGAGCAGGAGGAGCTGGGGGACCTGGTGGACAAGGAGATGGCAGCCACGTCAGCCGCTGTCGAGACAGCAGTTGCCAGGATAGAGGTGAGACAGGAGAGTGGCTGGGGGGGTGGGGAGCTGTTCCTTGTCTGGCTTCACTCCCAGCAACCCCTGCTCTGCGGTGATTCAAACCAGCAGCTCCGGGGTCACCAAAGTAACACAGCAAGTGCCATGCAGATGCCACAGGGCAGACTCCAGCCAGTCAGAAGCCCACACTGAGCAACCGAAAGCTGCATCACCAGGAGCCTCCCAGATTCCTGCTTGTCTCAGGAGATCGCTGACCAGCCAGACGTGGAGGGCAGCTGCCTGGCAGCCCTCAGCTGTGGTTGTTGCAGCCAGGTGATGTCAGTGGCTGGAATCTGGTATGTTCCCTTGTGGGCCCGGACCCACTGTGGCCCCACAGGCTAATGCTGCACTGGGAGAATCAGAGCCATTGAAAGGCTGCTCCAGACCCATCTCCTGTCCCCTCGAGCTCTGGTCAGGTGTGCAGCACGGTGCCGGCAGCTCAGGACAGTGCTTGCAGATGGAGCTGTGCAGTGGGGCGAGGGAATGCGGCTCACAGGCCCTTGCCGTGGGCTTTCAGTCACAGTGCCGGGAGCTGGTCCCCGTGTGGGGTGATAGGGCGCTGTGGTTGGGCTTGGTGATCGGTGAGGATCTGCGTTGTCCTGTGTAACCAGGTGTCCGCGCACACCCTGACCATGAGTTTCACACCATGGCTCTGTTGCTCTCAACAGGATATGCTGAGCAAGTCTCGGGCTGGGGACACCGGGGTCAAGCTGGAGGTCAATGAGAGGTAAGTACAAAGTCAAGATCTACCCTGCTTGCTGTCTGCAGTCAGAGCGGCTCCGTGGGCTGGTGCCATGAGCACAGGAATTGCAGGGTCCTAACGCCGAGCCCACCGCTGACTTGCAGGGGGGCTGCAAACAGAGATTGTGGCCCTGGCCGGGCGCCCAGCGTGGCTGGGAGGACTCCCGCCTGTGAAGCGCAGTGAAAGGGCTGATTCATGCTGAGCAACAGTAAAACCATTAAAACATCACAGTCAAGCAGTGAAAGCAAAGGAAGATGCTAAATACAACAGGGGGAGGGGTCAGCGGTGCTTGTAGTAAAGACAGAAATGCTTGGGGTTTTCCCACGACCTCGCTATGTTCCAGGGACAGCGGGGAGGCTGTTATGGGGAGCGTGCTCCTCCCACCCCGCAGGCTCACCGCCCTGTGTTGCAACGCTGGTACCACTGCGAGGCACGCGGTATCCAAGCCCCGATGCCCACACAGCCATGCAGGTAGCCGCGGTCTCTTGTGCGCTGTTTGAGGGAGAGCCCTGTGTTTGCCGGCAGCACTGGCTGTGGGGCAGCTCCCCACCCAGGGCACCAGAACAAGGCCTAGGCACCCTCGACCCAATGGGGAGTTCCACCCCGAGGGAACAAGCGCGCACCCTCAGAGCGCCCGCCCACCGGAGCCCTTCTCGCTCGCAGCAGGCTGAGGCCAGAGGGCACCGAGGAGCCCGTCGTGTAGGGAGGGTGATGTTGCTGGGTGCTCACCCTCCGAGTGGGCGGTGCTTGGGAGAGCTGTGCCCAGCAGAGGAGCCCCATGAGCTCTGTCTTTCCTGCCAGTTTAGCTGTTCAGGGAGGGGAGTCTGTGGAGCCGTGAGGGTGTGAATGGGAATTAGCTTTGTACCTAGCCATAGAAATGTAGGACTGGAAGGTCTTCTAGTCCAGCCCTCTGCACTGAGGCAGGACCACGTAAACCTAGACCAGCCCTGACAGCAGTTTGTCCAACCTGGTCTTAAAACTCCAGTGTCAGGGATTCCACAACCTCCCTTGGAAGCCAATTCCCTGAGAGTTAGAAAGATTTTCCTAATACCAAACCTAAATCTCCCTGGCTGCAGGTTAAGCCCATTGCTTCTTTTCATTCCTTCAATGGATGGAGAATGACTGATCACCGGCCTCTTTATAGCAGCCCTTAATGTATTTGAAAAATATATCAGGTCCCCCTCAGTCTCCTTTCCTCCAGACTAAACATGCCCAGTTTTCTAACCTTTCCTCACACGTCAGGTTTTCTAAACCTTTGAGCATTTTTGTTGCTGTCCTCTGGACTCTCTCCAGTTTGTCCACATCTTTCCTAAAGCATGGGGCCCAGAACTGGACACAGAGCTCCAGCTGAGGCCTCCCCAGTGCTGAGCAGAGAGGGAGAATTACCTCCTCTGTCTTAGATACAACACTCTGGTTAAAACATCCCAAAAGGATATTCGCCTTTTTCACAGCTCTGTCACATTAACTCATATTCAGTTTATGACCCACTGTAACTGCAGGTGCTTTTCAGCACTGCTGCCACCTAGCCAGTTACTCCCCAGTTTGTAGTTGTGTATTTGACTTTTCCTTCCTCAGTGCCGTACTTTGCACTTGTCCATATTGAATTTCATCTTGTTCATTTCAAACCAGTTCTCCATTTTGTTTTGAATTCTAATCCTGTTGTCCAAAGTACTTGCAACCCCTCCCAGCCTGGTATCATCTGCAGGTTTTATAAGCATCCTCTCCTCTCCATTATCCAAGTCATTAATGCAAATATTGATAGTACCAGACCCAGGACTGACTCCAGTGGGACCCCATTAAATATGCCCTCCCAGTTTGACAGCGAACCATTGCTAACTGCTCTTAAAAATGACTTGCTTGCAAAATCAGACATAAAAATACGAAAGTGTCACTGCCACACTAGTACCGGGAAATTGTTACTTTCTCCTTTTGTCCGTATGAAATTTTAGTCTGTACTGACTTCACTAGTGCTTTTTATGTAGCCTGTTGTAAAACTAAGCAAATAACTAGATGAATTGATGGACCCCTGGAATTCCTCTGTGTACCCCCAGGGGCACACGTACCCCTGGTTGGGACCCGCTGCTCTAGTTTGCTTAGGAGAATGTCATGTGGGACTGTGTCAAAAGCCTGACCCAAATCGAGATGTATCAAATTTACTGCTTCCCCCATACCCATTATGCCAGTAGCCCTGTCAGAAAGGACATTCGATTGGTTTGGTGTGATTTATCCATGACACATCTATGCTGGCTACTTCTTATAATCCTAGTGTCCTCTAGGTGCTTACAAATGGATTGTTTAATAATTTGTTCCAGTATCTTTCCAGGTATTGAAGTTAGGCTGACTGGTCTGTAATCCCCCAGGTCCTCTTTGTTCCCCTTGTTAAAGCCAGATGCTATATTTGCCCTTCTCCAGTCCTCGAGGGGCCTCTCCCCCAGGAGTTCTCGAGAATAATCCTGATGGTTCCATGTTTGCTTCAGCTGTTTTCTCAAGTGCCCTAAGATGAATTTCATCAGGCCCTGCCAACTTGATTACTTCTAAGTTAACTAAATATTCTTTAGCCTGTTTGTTCCCTGCCTTCTTGTGAGCTGCCGTTCTCTCTTGCAGGATTCTGGGCTCCTGCACGGACCTGATGCAGGCTATCCAGGTGCTAGTCCTGGCTTCTAAGGACCTCCAGAGGGAGATTGTGGAGAGCGGAAGGGTAAGCAGGGCACTCGCTAGCGTGCACCCACTGGGAGAGCTGCTGCTGGCAGCCCCATGTCAGCCACTCCGTGGCCTGACACAGCGACTCCCAGCCTTCTCTGGCAGCTGGAGCAGATTAGGGTCTCCATAGTAGCTGGAGGCCACTAATTCAGAGCGCCAGAGAGAGGTTTTTCCTCAAGATCTCAGAGTGTGAGCTCTACATGCCCTGTAGCTATTGAGCCAGCTACCGGAAGTTTGGGCACCAGCCGGGAACCTGGCTGTTAGTGGAAGCCCCGAGCCCAGAGGCACTTTCCAACATGGCCAACTTCAGGCTTCAGAGACGTTTGGGAGGGATCCAGTTCCCGTCAGAGCCTGTCCCCGCCCCTGAGCTGTGTGGGTCCGGACCTGCCCTGCAGCTGTGGGGCTCCACACTCTGCTTCCCCAGCCATAGCGGGTTTGAACGCAATTGAATGGAATGACCGCAGAGCCAATAGACACTTATCGCTAAGGGAGTGATGGGGAGTCTAAGGTAGCAGCCGAAGCAGCTGGGGGTACCGGTGCCAGCCTCTGGGAATCGCTGGCCTAGGACACCATGGTCTTTCCATGGCTGGCAGCATCCTTCAGTTTGGGGCGAGGTTCCCCGGCTACATTGAGTCTCCTGTTGTGAGTGGCAGTGGGGCATTCGGGGCTGGGTCCTGCTCCTCTGAGCCATGGCAGTGACCTCCCTGGAGAAGCGAGGAGAGGTTTGGAAGAGGAGAGAAGCAGATCCAGGGGATGGGGTGGCCAGGAGGGCCGAGGGGAAGAGGGGGAGCAGAGTGGTAGGCCAGGGTGGGCTGGTCAGAGAGCCAAAGGCTATAAACCCCTCCCTGCTGCCACGGAAGGGCTGCTGTCTGTGGAGTCCTCGTTTCTGGGTCCGTGTGTCTGAGACATAAACCCTGCCTGGGTTACTGCTCAGCTTCTTCCACAAACCTCTGTACCAGCTGTTCTGGGAGCTCCTCAATCATGGTGCTTCTCCCCAGCCCGGTCATCATCCCGGCAGGTTAGGGACAAGGCAGGGCTGGCTAGGGGCCAGAGCGACTGAGCGGCATCTGCCGCTCCCTGGCCTCCCGTGCATCACCCTTGGGCCTTTCTCCTCCGAACGACAGGGCGCAGCTTCCCCCAAGGAGTTCTACGCCAGGAATTCCCGCTGGACGGAGGGCCTGATCTCCGCCTCCAAAGCCGTGGGCTGGGGAGCCACCGTCATGGTGTAAGTACCCATTGGGGCAGCGGCGGCTTCGCATTGTGAGGACTGTGAGCGAGACTCCGGGGGTCTGAGATGGGCGGTGAACATGTGAAGTCACGGGGAAGTTCAGTGCCAGTCCCGGCTGAGTCCTTGCCAAGAATTCCCATGTGATGCCCAGTGAACTGCTGCCAGAGAGCTGGGGGCAGGCCTGTGCCCTGCCGGTGCCTCGGCTCTGGGCAAACAAGACTGGGGAGCTGAGTGCCACAATGGCATCCCCTTGCCCAGGCTGGTGGAAGAGTGGGTTGTTTGGTGTAGCCTGCACACTGGGATCCCAGCCGCTCCCTCTGCTGCCTTCCACAGTGACGCCGCTGACCTGGTGGTGCAAGGGAAAGGCAAATTCGAGGAGCTGATGGTGTGTTCTCACGAGATCGCAGCTAGCACTGCCCAGCTGGTGGCTGCCTCTAAGGTAGGAGCTTTGCCCAGCCGCTCTCCTCTGTATACAGCCCGGTCTTGTGTGTGGGGTGCCGGCTGGCTTGCCTGCTTGGAATGGGGCGGCTCCAGTGGTGGGGATGGGAGGAGTTGCCAGTTTGCAGCAAGGCCCTCTGTCTTGGAAGCCTAGCTGATACCCCTGTGGACTGTTGCTCGCTCCTGCATCCATGATCTGAGCACGGGAGCTGACCAGGGAAGTGAGAGCACCAAACCCCCCCCGAAGTCAGCTACTTGTGATGGGCCAAAACTGCCTCCAGCACTGGCCACATCTCTCCTGAGGGTGTGGTTATGTGTCGTGGGAACAGCCCCGGGGTGGGCAGAGCAGTGCCTGTAGGGGGAGCAGGCCTGCTGCTGCATGCCCTAAGCCGGGGAGCACGGCAGACGGAATGGGGACATGGGTTGTGGGGGCGGGGCTAGCGTACGACTCCTTCCCCTGGTGTGGGGGGCGGGGCTAGCGTACGACTCCTCCCACGCAATCCTTGCTCTTGGTGAGCGATTCTCCCACACACCTGTGCAAAGAGGAGGCTCTTTACGCCCTCCCCCAACCAGCTCAGTGGCAGGCCTCAATCTGGCCCTGTGTGCTAGCCACCAACATGGCTTTGGGCTCCTGGCAGCCATAGGCACAGAGCACATGCTGTGCTGTGCTGTGCTCACATGGCCCCTGGAGCCAGCCCAGCAGATGGATTGTTTCCTTTCCTGGCCCATCCCCTGCGTGAGGTGAGTGTGACCCTTCTCTTTGATCCGGCAGGTGAAAGCAGATAAGGACAGTGCTAACCTGGCCAGGCTCCGGCAGGCATCGCGAGGAGTGAACCAAGCCACCGCCGAGGTGGTGGCCTCCACAAAGTCAGGGAAATCTCAGATTGAGGAGAAAGGTGAGTGCTAGGCCCATCCGGGTGGGGTAATCTCTGCCCAGCTTCCCTAAAGGGCTCGTCACTTCGCCAGCAGCTGTGTAGATCAGTGCCCCTCCCATTTCACTGTCTCCTTCCATTCGCCCATCGGGCCCATCCTTCATCTCGGTGTGCCCCCTCCTGGGCGTGTGCTTATCCGTCGGCTGGGGAGCCCGCTCGGCATTCTCAACACAGTGTCCGGGGGAGTCCTGGGCACTGGTAACAGGTACAACTTGTCTGTTCTTCCCCCACAGACAGTATGGACTTCTCCAGCATGACACTAACTCAGATCAAGCGCCAGGAAATGGACTCTCAGGTAGGGACATCATCTCTTAGGCTGGCTAAAGTCTGCCCCATTGTTTCTGGCCTGTCAAGGGTTAACGAGGGGGGGTTTAGCGGACAAACACGCTGCTGGGGAGCTGAGGCTGGGGAAGAGTCCCAGAGTGGGCTGGGGATGGGAAGGTGTGTGGTGGGACATGGGAGGAGAGAAACAGGGACTAAGGCACGGCTGCTGGCCTAGGTGATGAGAAGGCGTTCCCCTTCCCCACTAGGTGCGAGTGTTGGAGCTGGAAAACCAGCTGCAGAAGGAGCGCCAGAAGCTGGGAGAACTCCGCAAGAAGCATTATAAGCTAGCAGGCGTGGCGGAGGGCTGGGATGAGGACGGTAAGTGCCCGGGGATGGAGCGGGAGGGAAGTGTACCGCCTGAGCTCAGCGGGGGGTGGGAGGGGCAGGAAGCAGACCAGCTGGGAGGATTCGCTCCCTGCCTCTTGCCCTGGTACCCTGGAGAAATCTGATACGAGCACAAAGGCAATGAGATGTGAGAGCCCAGGCAGCAGCACCACGGCCTTTCCTGCAGCATCTGTCCCTGCCGGAAAACTCCCGCCCTGGGACACAGGGGGCGGGGATCAGTATCCCACAGTCCTCATGGAGGAAACTGAGGCAGAGAGGTTGTGGTTTGCCTAGGGCCACCCAAAGAGTCTGAGCTGGGAGTAGAACCCAGGAGTGTCTGCGTCCCTTGCTTAACCCACTAGATGACACCTCTAAATTACACCGCAAAACAGACTCCCACTAGGAGTGCTGTGGGAGCTGGGGCTAGGGGGAGCTCCCGGCTACGCCAGCCCAGCCTCTCCCAGCAGGGGGCGCTGTGGGGAGCGGGGCGGGGCGGTGGTTGAGGAGACCATCCATTTCCTCTGAGGAGGAGTCCTTAGCGCCGGGCAGGAATAGTATTTGTTCTCCTCTAATGCCCGGGAGTCCCAGTCCCAGAGCAGGCCCCCCCACACCAGGTGCTGCACAAACATGAAACAAAAAGATGGTCCCAAGGAGCTGACAGCCTCCGTTTGTTCTGCCCACTCTGAGAGCCTCTGACCCTCTGTCCACCCTTGCTGGTGTTCCTCCCCCTCCAGCTGCAGAGTAGCTTCCCACGCCCGAATCAGCGGCCGATGGATGCCCCTTCAGTTGGCCGGGACCCAGCTTGGTGCAGCTCTTTCTGAAGATACAAAATAAACCGGTGCAAAATCCGACTTGAAGCACATGTCCTCTGCGTTCCCAAGGACCCTCCTCCAGCGCGCCCGGCCAGGCAGCCGCCCCACCCTCGACTGGGCAGGTAGAGCGTGCAGAGGCCTGAAGTGCCAGGAGCAAGGCTCCCGCAGCCACGGGACACAAGACTCTGCCCGCATGTTTAGTGCAGCTGCTTTGGGGACCGCCTGTAGGTTCCGACTGTAACCCTTGGTTCATTCTTTGCACGGACTCTGAACCGGTTCTGCCTCGGCGACGTGCCCTGGTGGCAGCAGCTCCCAGCTGGCTTTCTGACCCCACTGCTTCACCAGCCCCGTCAGTGCAGACGCTGGCCCGGTTCAGAGCCAGCATCCCGCCAGACGGTGCCTGTGTCGCGCTGGGCAGGGCAGGGAAATGCAGCCAAGCCGGTTCTTCTGCTGGCGAGGCTGGGTGGGCTCTGGGCTCGCAGCTGGGCACACAGCCCTCCCCACCCCCACACTTCCTCTCCCACTTGCTGTTCTGAGCTGGCCCTGCGCAGCTCAGAGCCCGTGGGGGCGTGCTGCACCCGTGGGGTGGACGACGAGTGCCTTTCACTGCTGGAAGATGGCCAGCGTGCCACAATAACACCTCATCCGCGCGTGTCTTACTGCACTTCAAACGGGGCCGTCCCAGGGCAGCCAGCCTCCCGCGGCGGGGAGATGCCAGCGGAGCCCCAGCACGCAGTCCGTGGGAGCCCTGGTCCCTTAAAGCCATGTGTTAGACAGCCAGTGGGGGATGGGGTGTGGAGGCGCAAGACCCAGTCACTCCCCCAGGCTCCTGCAGGACGAGAGCAGCGCCTGAGTTACCCCCCTGCTATTCTCTGTGCCTCGGGCTGACAGCATGGGAGAGAGTCCACTGAGCTCCTAGCCTGGTCCTGGGAGCTGATCCATCCCCACCCCAGAGCAGGGAGTGTCCCAGCCTAGTGCCTGGAGCAGATCACTGTCACCAATAAATCACTGTCAAAGGTGCTCCTGCCGCTCCATCACAGCCTCTGCCTTTGCCATCAGGGAGAGTTACCTGGGCCGCCCCGGCGGGTAATACGCGAAGCTGCCCCACTGGTTCTGATCCCCGCCCAGTGGGAAGGCGACACTTGGACCCTGGCTCCAGCCATCCTGCAATAGGGCTCTTCAGGGCCCCCAGCTGCCAGTTCTCCTCGCTGATCTGAGCAGCATGGCTGGTACAGACTGCAGGCATCTGGTGCTGGACTGACCCTCAGTGCCCTCCACTTTAGCAAAATGTAGCCGGGGGCTGCTACGGAGCAGAAAGCTGCTCTGGAATTTGGAACAAGCATGGTCCCCTTTGCTGCCTCTGTGCCCTCCATGCTGGCACATGGTTGGGCATCTTCTGTGCACTGTGAGCCCGCAGGGGCAGCCCATGGCCCAGAGAGCTGCTGTGGGGTTTGCTTGGGAAGCGAGGGATGGGAGCATAGCAGTGACCCCTGGGAACGCCTCTCTTCCCTTCTAGATGGGGCAGAGGAGGCTGAAGACGCTTGGTGGCCTGTGTCATTTCACCCCTTTAGCAGCAGCGAATCCAAAGGCAACCAGGGTACCTTTTGGCTCCCAGGGATCTAAGCTCCCCCCGCCCTGGGAGCCCAGCCAGCTGCTCAGAACGTGGCCACCCCGTCATTTAGATCCCCACCCCCCCGTGCTCAGACAGCACCAGCCGGGGACGGATGGGGAGCTGGGCTAGCAGTAACAAAACACTGTCCTGCTCTGCTAACGGGGCGGGGGCTTTCCGGTGCTGCCTCTCAGCCACTGCTGACAAAGCAGTCGGTGCTCCTTGCTGACGCAGCCCGGCCAGTCCTGCGGGCCGCACACTGGGCTGCTTGTACCCAGCTGGCAGCCTGCACTGGGGCAGTTCGTGCAACTCTGGGCCAGTTTCATCCCATGGGAATCCCACTGCAGTGAGATGTGGAGGCAAATTTGGCTTTGAGTGTGTGTGGCTGGTCCCCCTGCCAAGGCTAGAGTCTGCGGGTCAGTGCCTGATGCATGTGGCCAGTTCCCCTCCCCCTGCCAGGGTGAGGGGCTGCGGGTCAGTGCCCGGTGTGCGTGGCTGGTCCCCCTCCCCCTGCCAGGGCTAAGGGCTGCGGGTCCATGCCCAGTCTCACATGCCTCTGGCCGGGATGGGGTTGCCACCTAGTTGGTCCCCAGTGTCTAATTTGAAAACTAGCTGGTTCAAGCCATGGCAGTAGTTGGGCCCGATTCAGACCAGCTCCACGGAAGCCATTGCTGCCCCTGCCCACCCACCCTGGGGGCTGAGTCTGTCCCCTTGAACTATGGGAAGTGTCTGTTACCCTTGTCAGCAATGGCTGCAGCCGGGCCCCGGGACAGGTCTAAGCAGGTCTAAGCTCCCAGCAAGGCTGGGTCAGGCCAGTCTGGCCAGTAACCCGCCTTTTCAGATAGGACTGACGTTTGTCCCTCCCGAAGCTGTCAATAACCCAGCCACCTCCAGCTAAGCTGACGGCCGTGGCCCAGCCCAAGCCATAGCGGGACAAGCCGGGACAGCCCAGCCACTGTCCACGCTGGTTCTGGCGTGTAGCACCATGTGCCTCTCTGGGGCCCCAGGATGTAGGAGAAAACAGAGCCCTGGCCCTGGCCTTCAGACAGGCAGCACGTGGGTCCGGGGTGTTCATCACAAGGGCGCCCACGCGCCATCCCCAGCCCTGGATCTCTGACACTACACACTGAACCTTGCTCCTGGCTGAGCCCAGGCGGCACTCCCAGCCCCCTAGGACTTTGTGTCTGGTGCTTTCACTGCCTCCGCAAGTCAGCGTGATCCACCCCCATTCCACGCCCGCCGCAGGCCGACAAACCAAATACAGCCCCGGCTCCAAGGAGCACCCTTGGCCTGCAACTACCTCCAAAGCAATAAGAGCAGCAGCAGGCACGGCGGGGGGGCGTGGCTTACACTCCCTCCCCCCAGTGCGGGGTCCCACCTGGGTGGCTCAACCCCAGCTACCTCAGCTCTCCGGGCTGCAGCCCGCCTGGGCTGGTGACACAGGGACAGAGCCAGGAGGAAGAGCGGGGACAGGGGGGTTGTCGGAGGAACAGGAGGGAGGCTGATGAAGGGGTTGGAGGGGGGGCCGATGGCGGGGTTCTGGGGGATTGTGGAGGAGTGGGGCTGACCGGTTCTTGGCAGGACAGAGGTGGGGGCTGACGGGAGGGGTTCTCGGCAGGATGGAGGTGGGGAATGACAAAGGGGTTCTGGGGGGCAGAGATGGAGGGGGCTGATGGGTTCTCAGCGGGACGGGGGCAGGGTAGGCTGACAGGGATCTCAGATGAATCTCGGGGAAATCCAACATTTGTTTCCATGTGAAGTGACTTTTCCTCGTTTCTTTTTTAACTGTCCCGAGCCTGGGTGACCGAGCGTCCCTGGGAGCAGGTCCCGGAAGCAGCTGAGCAGCTCACCGCACCGTCTGGCCCGCGCAGGGCCCCAGGCAGCCAGCTGTTTCCCACAGAGCTTTTAATTATTGTATGTGGGGAGGGGGTTCATCGTCTAAGGTGTTGACTGTGGTGTCTCAATTTTTAAATAAATCTTTCAGCCCCGTGGTGGCAGTCGCTCTGTGGTGTCCCGGTCAGTCTGGGGTCCAACGGGAAGTTACTTGTTCGGGCGGCGCTGCATTTTCTGTATGGTTTCACATGGAATATTGTGGGCTGCTCCGCTCACCCCTGCCAAAAAAAGCTACAGGGAAAAAGGGGCTCTGCGGCCAGGCATGCAGGGGTCTGCAGGGAGTCAGTGTGGCCTAAAGGAAGAGTCACTGGCATTTGGGAGACCTGGGCTGTAGTGTTGGGTGACCTTGAGCAAGTCACATCTTTGTGTCTCCAAAATGGGGATCAGGATTCTACCCTCCTTTGTAAAGCCCTGTGATATCTGCAGATGAAAAGTCCTAGGTGGTACTAGTATCCAGCCCTTATGTAGCAGTTTTCATCCATAGATCTCAGGGTGCTTAGCCCCATTGTACAGATGGGGAAACTAAGGCACAGAGCAGTGAAGTGGCTTGCCCAAGGTCAGCCAGCCGGCCAGTGGCAGAGCTGGGCATTAAGTTCAATGTCCTGAATCCAAGTCCAGTGCTCCAGGCCACACTGCCTCCCCTAAGAAGTAGATATTTCTATATGTTCCTGCCTGGCCCCCTCATTGTCTGAGCACAAGACAGTTTCCATCTGGAGATGGAAAAGACTGGGAGAGAAGGAGAAAGACGTGATGAAACAGGTATGCCAGGTGCTCATATTTACCCTTCTAGTACAAGAGCAAGGGACACGGAACCAGCAAGGCAGGACGTTTAAAACTGATAAACGGACATTTGTAGCCAGTGCATCATTAATCTGTGGAACTGACTGCCACATGGACAATGAGGAGGGCCAGAGTTCTGTGAGATGAGGTACCAATGTACAAAGGCTATGAACACGCAGCCTTTAGCGTATGAGCCACCCACTATCTGCCTGGAGCCAGGAAGCCTCCCCTTTGGGGAAGCTCCTTGCAGAATTGTCTTTGGGGTTCCCTGCCTCCGAAGCACCAGGTCCTGGCCTCTGTTGGAGCCAGGACCCAGGCCTGGGAGCATTCTGCAGCTATTAGCGAGGGGCAGCGGCCTCTGGGCCATAACCCAGTGCCCCTGCTGAGTAAATAGCGGGGCTTCATTTGTTAGTCACAAAGGACACCCCGTATCTCCCCGCAGCTGGGGTGGCGGGGAGCCAGCTCCAGCCTCTCTCCTCCCCTGCACTCTGGCACTTCTGGGTCCCTTCCTCGCTCTTCTGTTGCATCCTTGCTCCTTTAGCTCACACCTCTTGGGTTCTCTTCCAAGGAATCCTCTGGCACTGGACTAGCTGGCCCGCGTGAGGGCTCTTTCTAGCTGGGGTATCTCCTTGAGCCCACAGGTTAGATGCAGGCTTGGCTTTCCTTGGGCTTGGGACATTATTTCACCTTCTGGCCTAACCGGTGCAGGGTTTGAGTTGCCGCCTGTTTCCGGGTCTGGCTCACGCAGCTGTTGACTCCTGGCTGCAGGCATTTGTTGTCCCGAGGGCGCTGTGCGCTTCCTTCTCGCTGAACCTGGTTCCAACATGAGGATTTCACCCCACAGCCGGGGAAGATCCCCTGAGAAAGGGACGAACCTGACAGTGCTGCTCTGCACCCCCAGCACCCTGCCCTGCTCCCTGTCTCGGGAGAAACCCTTTGAAATAAGCACTGCCCAAGAGCAGGGAATTGGGTGAAAATCTCAGCACTAAATGAGTGGGGAAGGGCTGGCAGCAGAGACCAGCACACGCACTGAGGCTGATGTGCCACTGAGCGGTGGGTGAAGAGGTGAGCAGGACCCACTGCTCGGAGCCCCCAGCAGGACGAAGGAGCCTCAGAGGGGCTGCTCCTCTCCCACTCGTAACCAACAGCCGCTTCCAGGAGCTAAGGGCGAGGTGAACGCTCAGCAGCATCACGCCCTGGCCTTGCCTGCATTTGCATTTCCTTCCTGCAGTGCAGGGTGTCCTGCAGCGGTTCCATGGGCCCCTCTGTTACTTGTACAGAGCCAAGGGTTTTGTTCGCCGGTGAGAACTTCTCCGTGCGAAAGGTGCTGGCTCCAGGCTGGAGCCTTCCTTTCTCCCTGCAGGCTCCGTATCGTTCCCTGTATTTAAGCCAGGGCAAGCAACAGCCGGTGAACGCAGTCAGGGATCTGCAGGATCAATGCTCTGCCCCCAGCTTTGGAACAGCTCCTGGGAGGCCCCCTTCACTGTGCCAGAGCCCGCAGGCATCTCACTCTTCCTCCAAGGTCAACCACACGGCTTCACCACCTCTGGGCTGTCAGCACCCCTGCTCCACCCCCCGGACACAGCCCTGCAGCGACCCATCCACTCAGGGATCCATGCACCTCAGGAAGAATTGCCAAAGCCAGCGGGTTTATGAGTGAATGGGCACACAGCCCCGGGGGAAGCCCTCAGGCTGGCCTAGAGCACTGACGGGTGAAGCAGAGCCTGTTCTGGTCAGCACAGAGCCCAGCCAGGCTGTAGTGACCCCCTTTCTGCAAGCTCTGCGTCTCTGTCTGACCTTGGTCAGGCTCCATGTGAGAGCCCCCACCTCCTTCCAGCAGCCAACTCTTCTCCTCCCACTGCTGCAGTCCTTTGTTCTCCAGCTGGGGGCGCTACTCTGCCTCCCTGCAGAGAGGTGGGGAAATCTAGACCCCTCTGGGGCATTGGGTGCTGGGGGCACAGGCCTGGTGGCTGAGTTTGCCATTGTCTTCTCAAATGCTCCACTGATACGGGGACTAAGGCCCAGCCAACTAGTTGCCACCCAGATCCATGTCTCCTAGTTTGGTGCAAGAGCAGAGCCCCTTTCCCACACGCACTGGGTAACCATGCAGTGTATAGGTGAAACTGAGGCACAAATAAGGCTCATAAGAGAAAATTCCTTCTTCGTCTCCCACACCCATAGACCAGCCTGGCACTTCCAGAACCTCCACTTCACCCGTCTGCAGTGCAGGACCCAGCACTGTCCTCCTGGGCTGTGCCGGGGGCTGGCAGTTCAGTGAATAATGGTCTCCCCTCTGCTGTGGGCAGGCAGGGCGGGGGCTAGGCCTCAGAGCAGCCTGGGCTGGACTCACCCCTTTCTTTGGCAGTTGGGAAGGGTGCCGGGGGGGGGGGCCGAACGCATTAGGCGGCTGGCGGGAGAAGCAGGAAAGCGCAGTGAGCGCTGTGGGGTCAGGGTGGAGGAGAGGAAAGGGGCAGGATGGGGACTGGATACAGAGCTGGCACCAGGGAGCAGCCAGAGGAGGAGGAGGCAGAAATGCCCAGTGAAAATTCATGGGCGATGGAGTCTAGCAAGGGAGCCCAGCCCTCAGAGAATAGGGACACGAGGAAACTGAAAATTACACCTCCCATGAGGCCCAGCAGCACCACTTCCAAAGCAAATTATTTTGGCTTTTGAGTGATCAGGTTTTCAACAAAAACCTATTTTTCCCCCCGTGGGAAGTGACGCTGTTTGACAGCCCCAGTTTCCATCAGAAACCAGTTTCAATGGAAAAACTTTGGCCAAACCTAATCCCTAGTTTAAACAGCGCAACGACTGTTGGAGAAGAAAAAAATCACTGAACAACTGGACCAAAATTGTCAAACTCGGGCCCTTCAGGCCGTATGTGGGCCCTCAAATCCAGGGGCTGATGGTCACCGGTGCTGCTGCTGACAGGATCCAGCCGTGTGGCACGCCTGTAACCCTGGGTGCTTATTTTGGTGCCTAAACAGCCAAGTGAGTGCCCTGCCAAAGGTGGCCGCTTTTCTGCTGGAACTGCAGCCTTCTGGCTGGGGCGCAGTGGCCAAGAGGCAGGGGCATTTCAGTAAAGCAGCCAACACGGTGTCTTGTGAAATCCAGCTTCTCTGCCTCGTTCAGATGGAATGAGAATGTCGGAGACCAGACAAATGGATGGCAGGGCACCAGCAGCAAACGGCGCATAGCCGAGAGCGTAGCACATACAGGAGACCAGTATAACAATGCCTGCATCTGTAATTTTCACTCCATGCATCTGAAGAAGTGGGTTTTTACCCATGAAAGCTTATGCCCAAATAAATCTGTTAGTCTTTAAGGTGCCACTGGACTCATTGCTGTTTTTGAGAAATAAGGGATGACTCAGAGGGAGCCACCAGGCCATTAATGATCTGCAGTGGTTCTCAATCAGGGGTCCAGGGCCCCCTGGGGACTGTGAGCAGGTTTCAGGGGATCTGCCAAGCAGGGCTGTCATTAGACTCGCTGGGGCCCAGGGCAGAAAGCCAAAGCTCCACCGCATGGGGCTGAAGCCCGAGGTCCCGAGCACCACCACCCAGGACTGAAGCTGAAGCATGAGCAATTTAGGCTTGCAGGGGCCCCAGCAGCGGCCAGCCGCACTGGCTGCTGCAGAAGTCACAGAGGTCCCGGGAAGTCATGGAATAAGAACATAAGAATCTGTGACCTCTGTGACAAACACTGAGCCTTAGTTATAAGATTCCACTGTGTGGTGTTACTAAGACATGTTCCAAGTCTGGGGAGTGGCCAAACCAGTCCCCCAGACACAAAGGGCAAGCTGACCCCTCAGCCAGGTGTAAACAACCTCAATGGGCC